CACCCAGGAAACTATAGTCGCACACCAAAACTTAGGTACACGTATATGTACTAATTAATATATATATATATATATATATATATATATATATATATATATATATATATATATATATAAAAGAGACTGTTTGACCAACACTAGGACTGATCAAAATTCATGTTAAAGAAATAAAAAACAAATGAAAACTACACAAAAGTTCATTTTCCCATTAAGACATTCATTTCTGTAGTTCACTGCTACTAGCGAGCAGAATTTTTTTCTCTCCTGATGATGGCCATATTGGCCGAAACTAGTCGAGGAATCTAACTGAAATAATAAAAACGAAAGAATATTAATATACAACCCAGCGAAGATTTTAATTTTTTAATATTGTTTATTGTTCACCATTTCGCTATTCAATTAAAAATTTTTTTTTTAAAAAACAAGGAATCAGATATTTGGTTATTTGATTTATTCGTGAGAAGGCCGAATACTTTTCAGCAACCTTCGCATCATGATTGGTTGGAAAACATTTAGTAAAAACATAGATGTAATGAAAAACATCCTGTAATACGTAAGATAAATAAAGAATAAAAATAAAGCCGAGACAACTTAAGCTTTCCCCCTTCATTTTTGAGGCCGAAACTTAATTTTCATTGGTTTTACATTTTATTCTTTATTTATCTAACGTTTTATAGACCCTACGTTGTATTGAGCACTTTTAATTTCAAACATTATTAAAGATTATTATAGTTGGAGCTTACCAACTGCGATTGTGTTCCGTTATATATATATATATATATATATATATATATATATATATATATGATTTTATCTTGATTTCTAAATTGCTTGTCATTTTGATTGTATTTCTCATCATTTGTTAGCAAATTCATTTCTCATTTCGGAACACCTTTTTCATATTTATCCCCTTACCTTTTGTGTGTCTCGTCAATCGAACTGTTCATCCCTACTGCAATTTGTCTTGTTTTGGTATCATTATTATCTGTTGATATCAAGTGACCAAAAAAATCTTTCTTTTTAAAACCTTCAAAATTCAGCATCATTCATCATTTACTACCTAAAATAATTTTCAGAGATGTAAACTAGTATAGTAATGAATGAAATAATGATGGCGACCTTAAGGTTGACTTAGTACTTCTTTACTGCATAAATTCAAACCTGGTGAATAACAGCGGATGCATCTCTTAAAATCATAAGGACAATGCTTAGTGAAGTTAATATTAGTGGATCATTTAAAGATGCGCTTCATAAGGACAGACGGTAAGCATTGATAATGACAAAGCAAGCGTTTGTGTTGAATCTGTTCTGATTCAAATATCATTAATGTTCAACGCTAGCAATGGATTTAAATGTTTGCACTTGCAGCATATCGGGAAAAGGTAGAAACAAATATCCGATAAACTCAATGAATTAAACAGAAAAAAAAACAATCTTTTTTGGTTACCTGATATTTTTGCCGCTGTTGATGTCATAATTTATGTTGCTTTTCGTGTTTCTTACGTTTTGTTCATGTTCTTTTTCTCATCACCTTTATTGGTTAAGATATCTCTATTCTTGAGCTGCATTATGAAGAGATTCTTATGTCTGTTCAAGCTGAACATAATACAGATGAATGTCTTATTATTATCACCGGGTGAAGGAGAGCAGTAAGCCAACATATTAACGCAGGGAGACAAATATACGAATCCTTGTATACCCATTATGACATCCAATCTGATAAGCGTATAACAGGCTCAGGCATCACTTCCAAATATGCTCGATGTCGCTACAGATCTTGATAAAATCAACGCATAAACTTGCAAGTGGTGCTCAGGTAAAAAAAAATACCTTCAGATTTGGCACCCCATCCCCATTTTACTGTCTCTGACGATGTTCCCAAACATCTGACTCTCCCTTGTAGCCTTGGCTGCCTCATCCTTCAAATTTAAAAATAACAACCCTCAACCCTCTCAATTGCTTACCATGATGGCCCCTCCTACCCCCAGTCACGAACAGAGATGCGCAATTATTATTATTATTATTATTATTATTATTATTATTATTATTATTATTATATTCATTCACTCATTCATTTATGCGCTGAACTTTTCACACAAGTAATAACTGATGATCATCACTAGAGATCAAAAGACAGCAAATTTCCTCAATAATCCAACACCCTTTTCTCGTTATTCGGACAAGCTTTAGTAATACTTTTGTCTAGCTAAATGGTTTTATTTCATCCTCTGATTTCAATTTCTTCTAATCTTTCCCTAAATTTTGTGGAACTGTTCTCTCATAGTCATGAGGATATCTGTGACATTGATATTGCACAGATTTTTCAAGAATCTTTAATTATTGCTGAGGAAGTCCAGAAACACGGGCGACCGAAACGTTGTGATAAAAATAAATAAATAATCATTAAATAATCATTGTAAAACAATAACAGAATTCAGGAACTCAATAAATTGCCTGTAAGGCGGGCCGACGGTAATCGTGTAGAAATCACATGCGACCGACTTATTAAGTTTAATTCGTTGCTCTTAGAATTGCGGGGTGGCACGGCGGTCATCGCCAACAAAAAACAGAAGCGTTGAACTGCGTTCAAATTCCTGCCAAGACCTCGTGTTCACTTTGCTCTCAATCCTCTAGTAGAACTCTTGAAATCATGTTCCCTTACTCTCTGCCCTGTCGCCACACACCTTCAAGGATAGTCTCGTCACTCATATGCCAAATGGCTGCAGAAGAAAAACGAACGCATCCGAACCAGGATATTTTCCGTACAACTTATCCCTTTTTAATTAAGGGAAAAGCTAGGCGTCGCCAAATATTCTACCTAACTCTCAATATTTGAAGAAGGACAAGTCCAGCACGGCAATTTGACTATATGCTAGATACCGGGTCCAGTAACACGAACAAAAGTTTTAACATTTCATATTATGTTAGGCCTGTATCAATGTTGTGTTCCAGTTTATTCCAAACCTTCCTACCATCAATGACAACAGCATTATCATCATTCTCATTACCTTTATCATCATCATCTTTATCCTCATCATCATTGTTGTTCTTACAATTATTTTTGTCAGTATATTTTATTAACACTAGAACTGCTGGTGAAGTGTATAAACCTGGAACAGCCATGGTATCGTTTTCTATATTTATGTAGATACATTAATAAGCTGTATATCAATAAAGTACATAAATATCCCCATAATCATTCATTTTACACAAATATTTATCTTTCTCCTCCCTTGTCAATGCGCTTAACCCAACACGTCTCTATTAATCAAACAGATAGAACATTATACAATAAAATTTTTAGATCGAAATTCTGCGTGGCAGATTACGATTTTTGAAAAATATACTCTTGTATCTATCCCCATACATGTATGCACACATTTACGGGGGGGTGGAAAGTTTTCAACCTAAACGACTTCCTATAATCAGTATTCTGAAGTTTGGTTATCGAAATACTAATTTATGGAAAGTAATTCAAACCAAAAAAATTTTTCATCAGCCTCCTCGTACATGTGTGTGTATGTGTGTGAGTACACTTTAACACGTGCGTACAGATATTTATATATGAGCATACTCACGCACAAACATCATTATTCATTCACCCAAAAACTCTCTCTTTCTCGCGTTGCCTTTTTCTTTTATTCTCTATCTATCTATCTACATACATACATCTCTGTTCATATCTGTATATCTACATACATACATCTCTGTTCATATCTGTATATCTACATACATACATCTCTGTTCATATCTGTATATCTACCTACATACATACATCTCTGTTCATATCTGTATATCTACATACATACATCTCTGTTCATATCTGTATATCTACATACATACATCTCTGTTCATATCTGTATATCTACATACATACATCTCTGTTCATATCTGTCTATCTACATACATACATCTCTGTTCATATCTGTCTATCTATCTACATACATACATCTCTGTTCATATCTGTCTATCTATCTACATACATACATCTCTGTTCATATCTGTCTATCTATCTACATACATACATCTCTGTTCATATCTGTCTATCTATCTATCTACATCTCATATCTGTCTATCTATCTCATACATACATCTCTGTTCATCTGTCTATCTATCTACATACATACATCTCTGTTCATATCTGTCTATCTATCTACATACATACATCTCTGTTCATATCTGTCTATCTATCTACATACATACATCTCTGTTCATATCTGTCTATCTATCTACATACATACATCTCTGTTCATATCTGTCTATCTATCTACATACATACATCTCTGTTCATATCTGTCTATCTATCTACATACATACATCTCTGTTCATATCTATCTATCTACATACATACATACATCTCTGTTCATATCTGTCTATCTATCCCAGTTTTATCAATATTATCCTTTCGACTCAAAAATCTAATATACTTCTTTCAAATATTTTCTTTAATCCCAAAGAACTGATTCCCTTTTTAAGGATTCTGCTTTTTGAAACGTTACCGTTTCTAAAGTTCCGTTCTCTGAGTGATTTCTGAAATTGTTTTCGATTTTATTATATAAGTATTTTAACTCTACAATACTATTTTCCTTAACATGACATCATTATAATATTAACCCTACTTGAGTGGAACAGTTAAGTACATATCTATACACACGTACATATAAGTATCTAACTCATTAAGCATATGAAGCTTTAGACCTTAAGAAACGTCTATATACAAAGTAAATTAAAATTACCGTGGCTGGCAGTTCTTGAAAATAACACGTTATATTTAGTATGTTAAGCACGCGTTGGCAAACAATATAACAGAGTTTGTATTGTTTTTCACAGTCTCAAAAAGCACTCGCTTCCCAACTGAGTCAGGCTGGCTCATCACGGCAGTTCTTCAAGAAGTTAAATGAAGAGAAAAACAAATCGGAAACCGATTCAGGTTTTAAATCGACATGGAACACTCGAGGAAAAGCCACGGAATCAAGTTATTCGACGTTGGGCCATTCTACCGGCAAAAGAAAGACAAAAACAACTCGAAGGGAAATAACTCCGATGCAGGCCCGACTTTGTCTCCGGTACTGTCGACTTCATCGTCAACGTCGACTACGCCGTCTCCGGAGAAAAAATCGAGACCTTTCAGCAAATTACTTTCCCGGTCGAGAGACAGAAAAGATGAATCAAAACACAGGAAAGAGAGAAGTCCGTCTGCACAGCCGCGGTCTGTCAGCCATGACAGACATCGCAAGAAGGACGAGTGTGACGGCGGAGGAACATCTCCGACTGCCGGCGAAAAAGACGATCTCGGGTCAGAAAGAGACGGCTGTCCCACGCGAAACCGTAACTATAACACACTGCCATCGCGAATGTCAGTGTTTAGCAGGAAGCTGACGCGACCCAAGAGCAGCTTTCTTAGCGTTGACGACGAAAAGCGCTCTTCGCCATTAATACTTCGTGCTGGGAGTCGACTGAGTATGTTCGATTTTCGGAAATCGAACCTGAGTCTTAGCGCCTCTTTGAAAAGTTCCAGTGATCGAGGTGAGAGGGACGGGGATCGGGACTCGAGACGAGATGACAAGAGGAAAGGACAGAAAACCGATGAGGAGAAGAGAGAGGTCAAAAGAGAGCCAGAGGAAGAAACGAGGAAGAAAGATAGCAAACAGAATATTAAGAGCTTGGGAAAAAAGATAAAGAAAGGGATTTCGTCGTTGTTCCATCAGAAGCGAGACAAAAGAGATAAGGATAGCGGTGTGGACGAGATTCGTGAGTCGGACGAAGACACGACTTCGGCGCTGGCTTCGGCCTATGAGAAGACCGACGAATCTGATATGGACAGTGAAAGCATCGGCAATTTCTCCATGTCGTCTAACCGTACAAGTATTTGCGACGACAGGAAAAGCGTAGATACTGAATCGACTCTTTCGCGCCAAGAGCAGAGGAGCGTTGTCAGTACGTCAACCATATCAGACGGCGGAAGCCGAAAATTCAATGATAAAAGAGACTTTGCGTCAAGAATTCCAATCATAGACGTTGTCAAAGATTCGAAATATCAAAGTAGTAGTCTAGAAATGGCTAGAAAGGTTTTTGGTGCTTCCGATCAACAAAGAACGAGTGAACAAAATAGAATCCCTCGTTCTTCGGGCGTACATTCCAAAACTGTTAAGACGCCGTCTGTTGAGAGTACAAACGATAAAAAAGTTAACGAACGAACAGTCATTCCTAACATGGGCATGCACGTCTATGAAAAAAAGACCATTACTCGGCCCGTGAGCAGCGGGGTCTACGACCTTAAGGGACCCGAACGAATTATCCCTCCAAACATGGGAACAAATATATGTGCCAAGCGAACTCAAGAAGTTGCCACTGCTTCGCCGAAGGTCTTTGGTACTAGTAAAGAAACGAAGAAAGGAATTGCATCGTTTCTGGAGAGTGCCGAGGTCCGATGTCTCTATTCCAGTGAGAATGCATTAAAATCTTCAGAAAGTCGCAGAAGTTATGTGAAACCATCTTTTGGTAGCAATTCAGATTTGAGTTACGAAAGAAGTCCATTATTAGGAGTGAAGGACTTTATCCAACGTGCAGAGAGCGTCAGCGAAAATAGCAGATCCTCTTCAAGAACAGGATACATGCCAAACGAGAAGAATAATCGAAATGAAAGGTTTTCTTCGCCGCTAACTCGACCAGCGTTTGATAAAACTAACATTCGCGGTATGACGCATTCAAACAGAAATACAGACCAACAAGACAAGACCTCAGACTGGCTTGAATCTCATGAATCAAGGAAAGACTACCTTGGCTGGTCGACAAAAACCAGCGAATCAGAAAGAACTCTAGAAGAAAACGAAATGGTGGCAAGATCTTCCCAGCGAGTGTCTAGCTATCACGATAGAAAAGCTGATGAAACGACGATCAATGTGAATTCTTCACGAGAAGTGGATCACATGTCGATCGGTTTGATAGCTGAAAAGAAGACGAATTTTCTAATTCCGCGTCAGGGAAACGCTTCGGTTAACGGCGCCGACAACAGTTCAATAACGCATGCGCAACTTCAACCCAAGAAGATTGAAACTTCAGCTTCTACAAACATCGTAGATACAAGTTCCGCTACTGACCCTAAAAACAAAACAACTAGTAGTGCCCCAGACTGTAATGATGATCCAGTTACTGCCGCTGCTGCTGCAATCATCAGAGCTCTCAAAGATAAAGGTGTTAAAGATATAACTGAGGATACCATTAAGGATGTTCTTGCTTCAACTGGTATAACTGGATACACTAGTGGCGCACTAAGAACATCCTCAGTCAGAGATTCTTCGGTTACCAATGCTTCAAGTGAGTTGGAGTCCTCTGACAGCGACGAGGATCTGGAGTTTTACGACAGTGTTGACGCATCTGAATTAAGCGACAGGGACGAAAGTCAACCGAACGAAGACACTGCTTACACGATACAGGAAGCAGATTTATTTGCGAGGGTCACCCAAAAGTGCAACGTTGAAATTGTGGAAAAAAAGCTGAATCTTGACGACGCATTTGATAAAACGAAGAACACTGGTACGCGAAAATCCGCGGAGGTTTTTGCTGAGAGTTTAAAGGTAACTGGTGACAAGGATAGAAATAGCAAACAAACTGAATTATTAAGTAATGATAAGAAGTCGAAAGTTCACAAAAGCAACAATGGGTCTCCGGAAGTTTTCAGGACGAAAGACGTGAAATCTAAGTACAAGATCGACGATATTGAAAGAGAATATTTGCCAAAGACAAGCGTCGAACACCTAACTAAACACGTGGAAAGAGTTCCAGTGTCACCCCAACTAACAGCGAACGACATGAAAATTAAAGACAATCTCAAGCCTGACTGCATTGATAAAGAATATCCACGTTCTTCGTACACTTCGGAGCCAGCAAAGTTGATTAAAACTGAAGAGTTCTCTGAGAGTGACGAAGATGAGGAGTTTATAGAAGCGACGTCGAATAGCGATGATCTTAACTCTGATATGGACAACGGGCTAGAGAACTTTGTGGACCAAGATATCGAACAAAAAATGGCATATACGGATTCTGAGACAAAATCTAAATTCGAAACGTTAAACATTGAAGAGATACCATTCAAGATCGAACCATCTCATCCGCATATCGCTGTTGATAATCGGGATTCTCCAGAATTCAATATCCATTCAGAAGAGAGTACCTGTGACATTAAAAAAGCAAGTATCGTCAGTTCTGTTGAGAACAGGGACTTGTCATTATCAGAGTCTGAAAACCAAAAACAGGTTTCTGATCTCACTCCAGAAAGCAGTGACCAACCTCCAATCCTTGACCAAAAGAAAGAAATTACAACGGCTAAAGATCAGTGTCCAGAAATCATAACTCCATTATCTGTAAATGAACCAAGTACTTCGGGCGCAGAACAGGATCGGGTCGTTTCATTAGAATGTGTTTCTAATAAAAGTCAGAATGCTGACGACGTTGCCGTCCTCAGACGATCTTCAACCGGACGGCAGCGGGATTACCAGGATAATGGGAACAGATTCTGCGCAATTATTGAAGTGGCGTCGAGCAGCGACGATAACGAGGACGAGTTAAATCTTGGAAGTGCCGGATCGAACACTGTGTTGCGCATTGGCGCTTTCGGAACCTCGCTGAAAGGTGAGGAGAGTGACGATACTGGTTATCTCGAGTCGTCGGATAGCACAACTACGTCGGTTAGTTGTCTTGAAGATGAAGAGTCGAAAGTACCCAAGACAGATAATCGTCGTAACGACACCCAAAGTGGTGATATGCATAATGTTAGAAATTCTCTTGCAGAGAAGGAATCGGAATCTTTTGGGAAACGCAAGAACAGTAATGATGTTGACGCCATGGAATTTGTTGACAGCATTGTGGACCTTGAAAAAGTAAGCAACACTAATAAGCATTTAAAAGACAGAAACGACCAGGAAGTTGAAGAGTTAAATGTGTCTAATACTTCCTGTCAAGAATCGGATCAGAATGTAAAAGTGACGTCAGTTGTTGCCGAAACCATATGTCCCGTTCAAATGGGCTCTGAAGGGAAGCAAAAGGCAGAAATCAATGAAGATAATATAGTTAAACATACAGAAACGATACATGACGATAACAGTGTATCACAAAGTCAAGAACTAAAGAATAATGATCGGATTAAAGTTGGGCAAAGAGACGACATGGACGAAGCCGATCAGAATCAATCCTTAGCGTTTTCGAAGACCGACGCTTCCGCTGATGACATATCTCCCAAAAGAGAAGCGAAAACATTTGAAAAGCCGGTCATCTTTTCCGATAGAGAAAACCAAGAAAGTTCTAAACAGCCTGCTGGTCATGAGAAAACCTGGGTACGTGAAAACTTACAAGCAAACGACAGCGAATATTCAACACGCGCTGACCCCAAAGATTTTGTTCCGGCAAACGAAATCGAAAGGTCGGCAGAAGTGAAAGCTGAGGAAGTCGTCAAACATAGTGACAAACGAAGCGAGATGATATCGTTTAAGCCTGAAGAAGATAAATTTCCCGATAAATCAAGTCCGAACGTGATCATTACAAATGCTGACGAAACGCTGGTGATTACTGAAAAGACAGAATGTATCAATATAAATAACGAGGTAACAGTCCATGCCATTGATGCCGAAAGGAGAGCTTTACAGACAGAGGATAAATGTGTAAAAGAAACAAATAGCCAGATTAATGACGTCAAAGTGACGGAAAATTCCGGTTGGACAGACAAAGATAGTCAAAATGAAGAAAGCGTATTTCAATCCCCAAAAGAAAATATCAGCAGTAAACAAGTTGATCGACATTATGACTCACAGACAAATTTAGCCACAATGGAAGATGCAATTGTAGAGAAAATTGCTAGTGAAGACGATTTTGTTTGTTCAATCGCAACGCCCGCGAACATTTTAGACAATAAAAGTAATGGAGTCGATTCGTTGTCCTTAGTTTCTTCCATTGAAAACGTTACGGACATTCACAGGCAAGAACAAGCTTCGCTTTCAGGCAAAGAAGCGGAAGTTATAAACAGTAAGTTAACAGCGTCGTCAAAAAATAGCATCATAGAGTCTTCACAATGCGCCTTAGTTTCGGATTCATGTGATAAAGATGATGAAGAAATTAAAGATGGCGTAGACACTTCGATCGAAGACATACAGAAAACATTGTCTGAAACATACAGCGAACAAACAGCGTCCCGAAATGAAGACGTCGGGGATTCAGCAGACGCCCTTGATTTGATATCACACGACAGTGATAGCAAAGAAATTGAAGATGGTGTAACCACACCGAGCGGGAACGATAAGGAAGCATTGTCTGAAACAAACTGCAAGCGGGCAACGTCCATAAAAGAAGACGTCATAGGGTTATCAACGGACGCACTTGTTTCGACGACGGATGACAGTCTTAGTGAAGAGTTTAAAGATGGCGTAAACATATCGATAGACGAAGTAGACAGCGAATCGTCTAAAGATGGAACTATTAATGTGCTCGCGGTAGAGGGCGACACAAAAATTAATAAAGATAAGGACGACGTTCTGCTTTTAACGAAAGAGAGAGAAATATCGCCAGTGAGAGAAATGACAAAGAACACTGCCTGTAAAATGATTGAGGGAAATATGTCGCAAGAAATCGATACTATCACCGATAAGAAAAAACACGAAGATTTTTCGAGATCGTCTCCAGTGGAAAAAATCTCCGATGAAAGAAAAGTCGAAGATTCCTCGGAAGCAGAGAAATGCAGAGAGAAAGAAGTATCGCCTCTTGAATTAAAAGAACACAACGAAATGTTGGAACGAAACCTGGAAGACCTAAAAGAAAATGATTTAACAAACCTAGTCAGTGCCAAGAGCATCAAAGATACGCAGGAATCGTCCTCGGATGAAACCGTGACAGAAAACGCTGACGAAAACATCGAAAAGAAGCCTGAATTTCCAGAATCAGAAAAGAAATCAAGCAGCTTAGTTCCGATTGATAAGATAACGGTGAAGGCTAATAAAGAGACGGAATCTTTGTCAAAAGCTGAAGGCCAGAACACCGATCCGAAGGATGCGGATATAAAAAAGTCTGCAAACTTTAAAGACAATGTTTCTCAACAACGTGACATCATAACAGAGAAAAAACAATTTTTTCAAGCCAAAGCGAAGAACAGGGAAATCGTCGGGAAAGACACTAATGATCAAGTACCCTTTCCGACTACTAGATTTACAGGAGATAATTGCCCTGTTCCCACACAGAAATCATCAGAACAGGAGACGACAACGAAAGAGCTATTCGTTGAGGTTGAAGAAACAAGATCGGGAGAAAGTGATGAGAAACTGTCAAAAGTGCAAGAACATGTCCCTAGGAAACTTGAACAAGAAAATGACGCATGTAAGACTAGCGTCATGGCTAAACAGAACGAAGAAAACAAGACTGTCTCTACACCTATAGCCTCTCCGGGCGAAGATAGTCCGAAGACTGAAGAAGAAATGGTTTCAAAATCTCCCGAGAGAAATCTGGATATTGTTAACTGCGAGACAGGCGATAAGAAACACGGCCGTGATGTAGCAGTATCGAAAAACGATGTTGTTGGGACGACAGTCTGCGAGAAAGCGTTCAAGGATACCAACGACACTAGCAAAAGAAAGAAAAAGAGAAGTTCAAGTAAGAGTGCTTCCCCTCCGAAAAGAGACGCAGAGAAAGTGAACAGAAAGGATGAGACAAAACAACAATCTCAACACTCAGCCCAAAAAAGAGATGTTGAAAATAACGTGAGTGATAAACCGAAAAGTGTCGCGAGAACTGAGAAAGACGATGCAAGGGAGATAATTCCGAAGTCACAAGAAAAAACAAAATCTGCGACGTCTCAATTTTCAGGGAAAGTTGCAAAAGACAAAGCCCGACTTGTAATTCCATCCATCTTCAAAAAAGAAGACACAAAATTAACAGTGAAAGATAGTGGTAAAACAAAAGAGAAGTCCACATATTCAGTTAAGCAGAAAGGTGTCATTGAGGCAAAACAGATTTATCCAGCATCAACTGAGGAAGAAATTAGAAACGATGAAACAAAAGAAATCTCCACCCTTTCAAATGAAGAAAAAGATCTGAAAGAGGAATTAAAAGAGATCTCCTCTTCTCCAATTGATAAAAAACACAAAGAAATCTCTCCGGCTTCATTTACGGAAATGGATCGGAAAAATGTTACAGAGGAGACCTTTAAAGAAAGAGATCTGAAACATGAGGCAAGAGATAGCACAACAGCTTTAATTGAAGAAAAAGATCTAAAGAAAGAAACCTCTGAAAGTCCAAAAGATCTGAAAGAGGAGGCAAAAGAAATCTTTCCACATTCAATTGAAGAGAATTACCTACATGATGAAGCAGAGACCCTCTCGCCAGATTCAAGTGAAGAAAAAGATCTCAGAGAAAAGGAAATCTCACAATCCTTAAAAGAAAAAGATCTGAAGAAAGAGGCAGAAGAAATCTGTCAACCTTTCAACGAAGAAAAGAATCTGAAGGTAGAAGCAAAAAAGATGCCTGAGCCTTTAAAAGAGGAAAAAGACCAAAAAGAGGAGACAACGGATATCTCGCCACCTTTAAAAGCAGAAAAAGATCCGAAAGAAGAGACAAAAGAGATCTCGCCACGTTTAAAAGAAGGAAAAGATCTGAAAGAGGAGGCACAAGATAACTCGCCAGAAATTCTGAAAGAGGAGGCAAAAGAGATCACTGAAAATTTAAAAGATCTTAAAAACGTAACAACAGATATCTCGCCACCATTACTACAAAAAGAAAAAGATCTGGAAGAAGAAGCAAAACAGATCTCGAAATCTTTAAAGGAAGAAAAAGATCTGAAAGAGGAGACAAAACACATCTATCAATCTTTAAACGAAAAAGATCTAAAAGAGGAGGTAAAAGATATCTCACCACATTTTAAAGAAGAGACAAAACTGAAAGAAGAGGCGAAAGATATCACTCAACAAGAAGAACTGAAAGAAGCCGTAACAGATATCACGCCACCTTTAAAAGAAGAGAAAGATCTGAAAGAAGAGGCGAAAGAGATCACCCAACATTTAAAAGAAGATCTTAAAGTGGTGGAAAGAGATATCTCGCCACCTTTAAAAGATAACGATCTGAAAGAGAAGACAAAAGAAATCCTTCAACCTTTAAAAGAAGAAATCGATGTGAAAGAGGAGTCAAATGCGATCTCTCAACCTTTCAAAGAAATAAGAGAATTGAAAGGCGAGGTAAATGATATCTCTCAACGTTTAAAAGAGGATAAAGTTCTGAAAGACAATAACAAAGTGATCTCGCCACCTTTAAAAGAAGAAAAGGATCTGAAAGAAGAGGTAAAATATATCTCCCCACATTTAAAAGAAGAAAAAGATCTGAAATCGGAGGCCAAAGAAATTACTCAACCTGTAAAAAAAGAAAAAGATTTGAAGGAGGAAGCAAAAGATATCTCGCCACATTTAAATAAGGATAAAGATAACAAAGAGCCAAAAGAGATCTCTCAAACTTTAAAAGGAAAAGATATGAAAGCGGAGGCGAAAGACACCACGCCACCTTTAAAACAAGAAGATACGAAAGAAGAGGCAAAAGACAGCACCCAGACTTTAAAAGAAGAAAATGATCTGAAAGATGAGGCAAAAGATATCTCGACAGCTTTAAAAGAAGAAACAGATCTGAAAGAAGAGGCAAAAGATATCTCTCCACCTTTAAAAGAGGAAACAGATCTGAAAGAAGAGGCAAAAGATATCACTCCATCTTTAAAAGAAGAAACAGATCTGAAAGATAAGGGAAAAGATATCTCGACTCAATTAAAAGAAGAAACAGATCTGAAAGAAGAGGCAAAAGTAATCTCGACACCATTAAAAGAAGAAACAGATCTGAAAGAAGAGGCAAAAGATATCACTCCACCTTTAAAAGAGGAAACAGATCTGAAAGAAGAGGCAAAAGATATCTCTCCAACTTTAAAAGAAGAAACAGACCTGAAAGACGAGGCAAAAGATATCTTTCCAACTTTAAAAGAGGAAACAGATCTGAAAGATGAGGCAAAAGATATTACTCCACCTTTAAAAGAGGAAACAGATCTGAAAGATGAGGCAAAAGATATCTCTCCATCTTTAAAAGAAGAAACAGATCTGAAAGAGGAGGCAAAACATATCACTCCACTTTTAAAAGAAGAAACAGATCTGAAAGAGGAGGCAAAAGATACCTCTCCACCTTTAAAAGAGGAAACAGATTTAAAAGATGAGGCAAAATATATCACTCCATCTTTAAAAGAGGAAACAGACCTGAAAGATGAGGCAAAAGATATCACTCCACCTTTAAAAGAAGAAACAGATCTGAAAGAGGAGGCAAAAGATATCTCTCCACCTTTAAAAGAAGAAACAGATCTGAAAGATGAGGCAAAAGATATCTCTCCATCTTTAAAAGAAGAAACAGATCTGAAAGAGGAGGCAAAAGATATCTCTCCACCTTTAAAAGAAGAAGCAGATCTGAAAGACGAGGCAAAAGATATCACTCCACCTTTAAAAGAAGAAACAGATCTGAAAGAGGAGGCAAAAGATATCTCTCCACCTTTAAAAGAAGAAACAGATCTGAAAGATGAGGCAAAAGATATCTCCATCTTTAAAAGAAGAAACAGATCTGAAAGAAGAGGCAAAAAGATATCTCTCCACCTTTAAAAGAAGAAGCAGATCTGAAAGACGAGGCAAAAGATATCACTCCACCTTTAAAAGAAGAAACAGATCTGAAAGACGAGGCAAAAGATATCTCTCCACCTTTAAAAGAAGAAACAGATCTGAAAGAGGAGGCAAAAGATATCTCTCCAACTTTAAAAGAAGAAACAGATCTGAAAGATGAGGCAAAAGATATCTCTCCATCTTTAAAAGAAGAAACAGATCTGAAAGAGGAGGCAAAAGATATCTCTCCACCTTTAAAAGAAGAAGCAGATCTGAAAGACGAGGCAAAAGATATCACTCCACCTTTAAAAGAAGAAAAATGATCTGAAAGAGGAGGCAAAAAAACAGATTCGATATCTCTCCATCTTTAAAAGAAGAAACAGATCTGAAAAAAGAAGAGGCAAAAAGATATCTCTCCATCTTTAAAAGAAGAAACAGATCTGAAAGAAGAGGCAAAAGATATCTCTCCACCTTTAAAAGAAGAAAGACGAGATCTGAAAAACAGATTCGAAAGGCAAAAGATATCACTCCACCTTTAAAAGAAGAAACAGATCTGAAAGATGAGGCAAAAGATATCTCTCCACCTTTAAAAGAAGAAACAGATCTGAAAGATGAGGCAAAAGATATCTCTCCATCTTTAAAAGAAGAAACAGATCTGAAAGAGGAGGCAAAAGATATCTCTCCACCTTTAAAAGAAGAAACAGATCTGAAAGACGAGGCAAAAGATATCTCTCCACCTTTAAAAGAAGAAACAGATCTGAAAGAAGAGGCAAAAGATATCTCTCCAACTTTAAAAGAAGAAACAGATCTGAAAGACGAGGTAAAAGATATCACTCCAACTTTAAAAAGAGGAAACAGATCTGAAAAGATGGAGGCAAAAGTTCATTTTAAAAGAAGAAAAAGAGATTGAAAGAGGGGAGGCAAAAGATATCTCTCTCCTTTAAAAGAAGAAACAGATCTGAAAGACAGGCAAAAGATATCCTCCATCTTTAAAAGAAACAGAAAAAGAGAGGCAAAAGATATGAGATACGAAAGAGGAGGCAAAAAGATATCTCTCCACCTTTAAAAGAAGAAACAGATCTGAAAGAGGAGGCAAAAAGAAGATATCTCTCCAACTTTAAAAGAAGAAACAGATCTGAAAGAGGAGGCAAAAGATATCACTCTCATCACCTTTTTAAAGAAGAAACAGATCTGAAAGAGGAGGCAAAAGATATCTTCTCCACCTTTAAAAAAGAAGAAACAGATCTGAAAAAGAGGAGGCAAAACATATCTCTCCACCTTTAAAAAAGAAGAAACAGATCTGAAAAGATGAGGCAAAAGATATCGCTCCACCTTTTAAAAGAGAAAACAGATCTGAAAGATGAGGCAAAGATATCTCTCCCATCTTTAAAAGAAGAAACAGATCTGAAAGAGGAGGCAAAACATATCTCTCCACCTTTAAAAGAAGAAACAGATCTGAAAGAGGAGGCAAAAGATATCTCTCCACCTTTAAAAAAGAAGAAACAGATTTAAAAGATGAAAGGGAGGCAAAAGATATCACTCCACCTTTTAAAAGAAGAAACAGACCTGAAAGATGAGGCAAAAGATATCACTCCACCTTTAAAAGAAGAAACAGATCTGAAAGAGGAGGCAAAAGATATCTCTCCACCTTTAAAAGAAGAAACAGATCTGAAAGACGAGGCAAAAGATATCTCCACCTTTAAAAGAAGAAACAGATCTGAAAGATGAGGCAAAAGATATCTCCCACCTTTAAAAAGAAGAAACAGATCTGAAAGAGGAGGCAAAAGATATCCTCCACCTTTAAAAGAAGAAACAGATCTGAAAGAGGAGGCAAAACATATCTCTCCACCTTTAAAAAGAAGAAGATCTGAAAGATGAGGCAAAAAGATCTCCATCTTTAAAAGAAGAAACAGATCTGAAAGAGGAGGCAAAAGATATCTCTCCACCTTTAAAAGAAGAAACAGATCTGAAGGGCAAACATATCCTCCCACCTTTAAAGAAGAAACAGATCTGAAAGAGAGGCAAAAGATATCGCTCCACCTTTAAAAAGAAAACAGATTTAAAAGAGGAGGCAAAACATATCTCTCACCTTTAAAAAGAAGAAACAGATCTGAAAAAAGAGGAGGCAAAAGATATCTCTCCACCTTTAAAAAGAAGAAACAGATTCGAAAAACAGATGGAGGCAAAAGATATCTCTCCACCTTTTAAAAGAAGAAACAGATCTGAAAGATGAGGCAAAAGATATCACTCTCCATCTTTAAAAGAAGAAACAGATCTGAAAGAGGAGGCAAAAGAATATCTCTCCACCTTTTAAAAGAAGAAACAGATCTGAAAGACGAGGCAAAAGATATCTCCCACCTTTAAAAGAGGAAAAAAAGATCTGAAAGATGAGGCAAAAGATATCTCTCCACCTTTTAAAAGAGGAAACAGATCTGAAAAAGATGAGGCAAAAGATATCCTCCAACTTTAAAAGAAGAAACAGATCTGAAAGAGGAGGCAAAAAAGATATCACTCCACTTTTAAAAAAGAAGAAAAGAGGAGCAGATCTGAAAAGAGGGAGGCAAAAGATATCTCTCCACCTTTAAAAAGAGGAAACAGATTTAAAAGATGAGGCAAAATATATCACTCCACCTTTTAAGAGAAAACAGACCTGAAAGATGAGGCAAAGATATCCTCCACCTTTTAAAAGAAGAAACAGATCTGAAAGAGGAGGCAAAAGATATCTCTCCACCTTTAAAAGAAGAAACAGATCTGAAAGACGAGGCAAAAGATATCACTCCACCTTTAAAAGAAGAAACAGATCTGAAAGACGAGGCAAAAGATATCACTCCACCTTTAAAAGAAGAAACAGATCTGAAAGAAGAGGCAAAAGATATCTCTCCAACTTTAAAAGAAGAAACAGATCTGAAAGACGAGGCAAAAGATATCTCTCCACCTTTAAAAGAAGAAACAGATCTGAAAGTGGAGGCAAAAGATATCTCTCCACCTTTAAAAGAGGAAACAGATCTGAAAGAAGAGGCAAAAGATATCACTCCACCTTTAAGAGAAGAAACAGATCTGAAAGAGGAGGCAAAAGATATCACTCCACCTTTAAAAGAAGAAACAGATCTGAAAGAGGAGGCAAAAGATATCTCTCCACCTTTAAAAGAGGAAAAAGATCTGAAAGATGAGGCAAAAGATATCGCTCCACCTTTAAAACAGGAAACAGATCTGAAAGATGAGGCAAAAGATATCACTCCACCTTTAAAAGAAGAAACAGATCTGAAAGACGAGGCAAAACATATCACTCCACTTTTAAAAGAAGAAACAGATCTGAAAGAGGAGGCAAAAGATACCTCTCCACCTTTAAAAGAGGAAACAGATTTAAAAGATGAGGCAAAATATATCACTCCACCTTTAAAAGAAGAAACAGATCTGAAAGAGGAGGCAAAAGATATCTCTCCACCTTTAAAAGAAGAAACAGATCTGAAAGTGGAGGCAAAAGATATTTCTCCACCTTTAAAAGAAGAAACAGATCTGAAAGAAGAGGCTAAAGATATCACTCCACCTTTAAAAGAGGAAACAGATCTGAAAGAGGAGGCAAAAGATATCACTCCACCTTTAAAAGAAGAAACAGATCTGAAAGAAGAGGCAAAAGATATCACTCCACCTTTAAAAGAGGAAACAGATCTGAAAGAAGAGGCAAAAGATACCTCGACACCTTTAAAAGAAGAAACAGATCTGAAAGAGGAGGCAAAAGATATCTCGTCACCTTTAAAAGAAGAAAATAATCTGAAAGAGGAGGCAAAAGATATCTCGACACCTTTAAAAGAAAAAACAGATCTGAAAGAGGAGGCAAGGGAGATCTCTCGACCTTTGAAAGATGAAACAGATCTGAAAGAAGATGCAAAACAGAGCATAAAACCTTTAAAAGAAAAAGCTCTGAACGGAGAGTCAAAATATATCTCACCATATTTAAGAGAAGGAAAAGATCTGAAGGAGCAGGCAAAAGATATCTCGCCACCTTTAAATGAAAAAGATCTGAAAAAGGAAGCATCATATATCTCACCACCTTTAAAAGATGAAAAAGAACTGAAAGACGAAGCAAAAGAAATCTCCCAAACTTTAAAAGAAGAAAAAGATCTGAAAGAAGAGGCGAAAGAAATCTCCCAAACTTTAAAAGAAGAAAAAGATCTGAAAGAGGAGGCAAAAGAAATATCCCAAACTTTAAAAGAAGAAAAAGATCTGAAAGAGGAGGCAAAAGAAATATCCCAAACTTTAAAAGAAGAAAAAGATCTGAAAGAGGAGGCAAAAGAAATATCCCAAACTTTAAAAGAAGAAAAAGATCTGGCAAAAGGGATTTTTTCTCCTTTTCCTGGGGAAGAAGAGCGGAAATATAAGGCTAAAGATATCTCCTCTGTTCTAATTGAAGAAAAAGAATTAACTGACGAGGCAAAAGAGATCTGTCCACCTTTAATTCATGGAAAAAATATGAAAAATGAAGAAAAGGTAACTTCTCCGCCAGCCACTGTTGGGAAAGGTGTGAGGGGTAAGGCAGAAGACAAGACACCGTCTTCCTCTGAAGAAATAAAAATGAAAATGTGGTCAAAAAGTCCTTCGCCTGAAAAAGGCCTGAAAGATAAAGTGAAAGAATCATATCAATCGATAGTTAAAAAAGACGAAGTGAAGAATACGCTGAAAAAGTCATCTCAGCTGATTCCTAGAGAAGATGACATGAAAAATAAAGCAGAGGACTTATCTCTATCAGTTTTTAAAGAAGATCTGAAAGGATCATCTTTGTCGTCTTGTATATCAGAGGACAAAGAAATATCTCAGACAATTCTTCATGAGAAAGAGGAGACAGGTGGGGCGAAAGAACCATCGTCCATTGAGAAAATAAATCTGAAAGACAAGACGAAAGAATCGTCTCCCTCCTCCATTAAGGAGACAAACCTGAAAGCTAAGAAGAAAGAATCGTCTCCCTCCTCCATTAAGGCGACAAATCTGAGAGATGAGAAGAAAGAATCGTCTCCATCTTCCACAAAGGAGACAAACCTGAAAGATAAGAAGAAAGACTCGTCTCCGCCCTCCACAAAGGAGACAAACCTGAAAGATAAAAAGAAAGAATCCTCTCCGTCGTCCATTAAGGGAAGAAAGCAGAAAGATAAGAAGAAAGAATTGTCTCCCTCCTCCATTAAGGAGACAAATCTGAAAGATGAGAAGAAAGAATTGTCTCCATCCTCCATTAAGGAGACAAATCTGAAAGATGAGAAGAAAGAATCGTCTCCCTCCTCAATAAAGGGGACAAATCTGAAAGATGAGAAGAAAGAATCGTCTCCCTCCTCCATAAAGGGGACAAATCTGAAAGATGAGAAGAAAGAATCGTCTCCGTCTTCTATTAAGGAGACAAACCTGAAAGATAGGAAGAAAGATTTGTCTCCGTCCTCTATTAAGGGGACAGATCTGAAAAATGTCATGAAAGAATCGTCTCCGTCTTCCATTAAGGCGACAAAACTAAAAGATAAGAAGAAAGAATCGTCTCCGTCGTCCATTAAGGAGACAAACGTGAAAGATGAGATCAAAGAATCGTCTCCGTCTTCCATTAAGGGGACAAAACTGAAAGATAAGAAGAAAGACTCGTCTCCGTCCTCCAGTAAGGAGACAAACCTAAAAGATAAAAAGAAAGAATCGTCTCCGTCTTCCATTAAGGAGACAAAACTAAAAGATAAGAAAAAAGAATTGTCTCCCTCGTCCATTAAGGAGACAAACGTGAAAGATGAGATGAAAGAATCCTCTCCGTCTTCCATTAAGGGGAGAAAGCAAAAAGATAAAAAGAAAGAATTGTCTCCTTCCATTAAGGGGACAGATCTGAGAGATGAAAAGAAAGAATTGTCTCCGTCTTCTATTAAGGGGGCAGATCTGCAAAATGACAAGAAAGAATCGTCTCCGTCCTCTATTAAGGAGACAAACCTGAAAAATGAGCAGGAAGACTTGTTTCCGTCCTCCATTAAGGAGACAAGCCAGAAAGATGAGAAGAAAGAATTGTCACCGTCCCCCAGAGAGGAGACAAACCAGAAAGATAAAAGTTTGGAATATCCTCATACGGTTAAATATAGTAGCTGCGAAGAGCAAGAAAACACATCTGGTGTTAAGAATGACTTCTGTTCAAAAGATCTTCAAGAATCTGGCCTGGATCTCCTAGAAAAAGATCGGGAAACTTCGTCTGAAGAATCAGATTTCGAAAAAATTGATTCTTTTACTGTATCCGACTCGAACAACGTGAAAAATGCGTCTAGGAGACCAAATGCTGTTCCAGATGAAGACAAACAAGTCCTAAATGCTGAGGATGATAAACATTCCATTGATAGCAAGCGCATTAAAATTTCCAATGATCCAGCGGCAGGCGGCTTTGAAGTAATTACAATCGACAAAGCGCCATCAGTGAAAACCCAGACGCCTGATAAGAACTGTACTGAAGATATATGCAATGCTGACGTCGTCAAAGAAAGAGAAATGTCCACTGTTGAAATAAATAAAAAAGATGAGAAGGGTTCTAAAGCTGAAACAGAAAAGAAATCCGGTGTGTTTTCTGCTTTGAAACGTATGTTTGGATTTACGTCGGCTGGAAGCGAAGTCCAAACTTCAGGCAAGAAGAGCCAAGTGAAAGTGTCGGAAAAGCCTGGTGCAAAACATTCTCAAGAAAAGAAAAAGCTCGAAATATCAGAAACTAATAAGAACCCGGATGACAAAATGCTTTCAAATGTCCAGCAACATGAGCAAACGGGTACAATAAACAAGATTTCTTCCTTTAATGAGAATGCTAATAATGTTAGCGATACAAGCGATGATTTCGTGATTGTCTCTAATGATGATCTAGAGAAAGAAAAATCAGAGGAGATCAATGAAATGAATACGAAGACTGTCGAAAATAGTGACAAAAAGAATCAAAATTTGAGTTTGGACATTTTCAGCTCAGAAGAGACTTCTGCCAGTGAGCCTGTGTCTTTGTCAGAATCTAAAATACCAACCATCGATTCTACATCAGTGTTGGATTCATTGGCGACCAAGAAAAACGAAGAAGCAATTGAAGTGGAAAATAAAGAAAGAGAAAAGGCTGAGAAATTATCAGAAACCCAGAAAAATTATCCAGAAAAAATTTCAGGGAATGACAATGAGTCTCTTAGACATGAAGATTCAACAGCTTTGTCAATTCATAAGGAAACCCTAGACAACTGTATGGCTGATTTAATTTCAAAAGACCTTAGTGACAAAGAAAAATCACCTTCTCCAACAAATTTTGAAAAAGAGTCAAATGAAAAACAGGGGACTACAAAAGAGGCTACAAAAAAGGACGACAAGGAAAATAACGATATCGTGCAGCAGCAAAACGAAGACAATCTTAACATAAAAAATGAAGTATGTCCCGTTACTCATAATAATATAAACGAATTGGATTTAAGAGACCAAAAATCTGTAGTTGGCCCTGACAAGGAAATTAATTCTACAGAACTTGCGAAGGGCAAAGATATGAAAAGTATCCAAATAAAAGAGTCAGAGAAAAAAGAACCTTCACAGCCGGACGGGTCTTATGATGTAGAGAAAGAAACAAATGAAGATTTGTTAACATTGGCTGACAACCAAATTAACCAAAGCATATCCCCGGCTCGAGAAATCCTGACTGGTGACCAAGATTCACAAAATAGCACGGAGCAAACCATAAATCCTTCCGATGAAAATAAAGTTAAGATCCAACAGGAGGAAGAGTCGTCGAATAAGACGATAAATAATGACGATCCGTGCTTAGAAGATTGTCGGGACGAGATAGATATGGTAGTGACGCACCAAGAAACAAGCGTCAGTAGTGAGTACGACGGCGAAGAATTCCAAACTAATCGTACGAGAATTTCTCCTATTAGCCAAGACGACACTAGCGAGACACCAGACTTCATGGAAGAAATGTCAAGCAGGGATAATGATCACAAACGTAGCAGTGACGAAGAAAAGGAACCCGTTGAAATGAGTCAGGATGAACAGACGAAAGAACAGAAAAGCGAAACGGAAGGAAAACTGTCAGACTCTAGCAGCGATCATGACAGTGACGGCTTCATAAGGGAACGCGATGCGGAGACCCAAGAAACGTTACACAGTAAAGAGAGCTTTAAAGATCATGAAGATGCTCAAGAAGTCAAACATGAAGAACACCAAAATCTCAAAGAAAATTATGTATGTAGTGAAAACTTCTACTCGGATGAAGAGAACAATGGTGACAAGACAGAGGCAAGTTTGACCAAATATCATGAGTCTTCATGTATTGGCAATTCTGAAAATAAACTTCACAGTCAATACAGAAAAGACTTCGAAGAAGATCTAGAGTATTTCTCTTCGGATGAAGAAATCTGCATAGAAAACAAGAATTCGATGAACAAAGATGAGTCATCATTACAGACCGATAACAATGACGTCGATGATCAAAGGCAGCCTAATAGTGGTCAAACAGATGTCTGTTCAACAGATCATCAAGAAGACATTTTCTCAGGCGATGAATTACGACGCCGTAACAAACATAGAGTAAGAAAACAATCACGTAACCAGCAGTTACAAAACGCCACTGAATTCACGGATACAGACGAGTTCGAACGAGAATACCCGGAAAGTGGCGAAGAAGATCGAGACAATGATAGAACAGAGCCAAGATGCCTCCGTCAGAAAAAATCTGTCAAGATATATAGCGAGGACAATGAATACGACAGCTTTGAATCTGTTGATGACAATGAAGAACTTTATTTAGATTGTGATTCCAAAGAAGATCGCAAAGAAGTGGTTAATGAAGGAGACGGCACTGAAAATAGTTCTATGAACGATAGAGAGATGACTTCCGGCAACGAAGAAAGAGACGAACAAGATGGAATGAACATAAAATCTGACATTCAAATGGAATCGTCTTCAAATATTTCTGAGGTGAATGGTGAACTCCATGGAACTGGCAAGGAATGCGGAAGGGAAACGCCTATAAACGGTGATGATACTCAGCATTTGAACGATACCGTGAGTTTGGAAAGAGAAGCGAAAGAAAGCACTGTCGTGTCACCAAATGGAGAAGCAGAAGCATTGGACATACACGACGGTGTTAAAGAACCGTCAGAGAATGAACAATCGCAAGAAATAATTGACCTTAAAAGCCGGCTTAGTATGCTACCAGCGGAAATGGGAACGGAAGTAGCATTGAAAAAGAAACCTCCGGTACCACCCCCGAAAGCTGAGAAAAGCAAACCGAAAGAATTAAAACGAGAGCCATCACCTACAATCGATACAGCCGACGATTTGAAAGACCTGAAAAGTCGGCTGAGCAAGTTACCAGCAGAAATGGGCGTCAAACTGGACTTTAAAAAGAAGACACCACCTCCAGTTCCGGCCAAGCTGTCGGACGACCAGCTAAGTGATCCCTCTTCGAATATTTTCAGTGAAGATGACCGTTCCACGAGATCTCGAAGCAGTACACGAGAACGCTCACAAAGTGTTGACAAGGCAGAATATCTGGTAGGTTTGCAGAGTAGGTTCAGCATGTTACCACCAGAAATGGGCGCAAAGTTGTCGTTCAAGAAAAAACCACCATTGGTCAGGCCAGAAAACATAAGATCGAACAGCGAAGACCGGGGCGATGACACCGGTTCAGAGACAACGTCCGTCGGCTGTCCATCGGAGGATTTCGATCTCAAATATGACGAAAGTGGGAAAGAAACCTCGCTGGGAGTCGACGAAGCTGAACACCTGAGAGGTCTTAACAGCCGCTTTAATTTGTTACCCCCGGAAATGGGTGCCAAACTGAATTTCAAAAAGAAGCCACTTGTTCCTCCACCAAAAGCCACCCGCACCGAAACTTCAAAAACGGAAACTTCTGGAAAGGAAGAACCAATGATTATCACGACTTCTACAGATGAGAATGAAATCACCGTTTCAATATGCCTGGATGAACCGTCAGCGGAAGCTGATGAAACTGTTGAACCAACGGATCTGAGGAACAGGTTCGATCATCTGACCCTGGAGACGGGGACAAAATTGAGTTTTAAAAAGAAGCCGCCTGTTCCGTTGCCTAAAGAAATCCAAGAATCAAAGAATTTGACTGAGGATAAAGAAGAAATTGATGTTAGAAGTAAGTTCAATTTAGCGCCAACTGAACTGGGAACGAAAATTAATTACAAGAAGAAACCGCCGGTCCCATTACCGAAACCAACAAAAGGTAACAAGGCTGAAAGCGCTGTATCTGCAAGTGGTGAAGAAACCGCGTCCATTGTTGTCGAGTCCAGTAGTGATAGTGCAGAGGTGAGTGCTGATTCTGAAGAAACGTTTGTGTTTACCATTGTCTCCGACGTGGATAATTCGTCGTTATCTCTGGAGGATAGCACGAAATTGGAACAGCAAGAAGAGGACGAAAATACTGAAGATAACGTTTTCGTTTTCACCCTATGCGACGAAGGTATCATTGAAGAATCAACGTCTCTCAAGCTAGAACCAGAACTGCACGAAGTGAAACCGGAAACTCCGAAACAAATACGAGAGCTCGACAAACATGGAGTGGAATTATTAAAACAGGAATTAGAAGTGCAGAGGCAAGAAGCGGAACTGCCGAAAGAAAAAGTAGAACTGCGAAAAGAAGAAACGGAACTGGTGAAAGAAGCAGAACTGCCGAAACGAAAAGCAGAACTGCTGAAGCCAGAAGCAGAACTGCTAAAACAAGAAACGGAACTGCCGAAGCCAGAAGTGGAACTGCTAAAACAAGAAGCGGAACTGCCGAAACCAGAAGCGGAACTGCCGAAACTAGAAGCGGAACTGCTAAAACAAGAAGCAGAACTGCTAAAACAAGAAGCGGAACTGCCGAAGCCAGAAGCGGAACCACAGAAAGACCTAGAACTCCCGAAAGAAGAAACAGAATTGTCGAAAGAGAAAGCAGAATCTGAAGAGACAAAATCCAAACCTAAATATCCTCGAAGCTACGAAGACGATGAAAGGTTAAAGGAATCTAAGCTTGACACTTTTAAACGAAAGTTTGGCGTGCAGACAGTAGCCGCAAAGCCTACTGTGCCTCCCGGAGCGCGCCGACAAAGTATGCCTTGCAAGGGCGATATCGAGGAGATGCAAGCTAAGAACGACGAGACCGGAATGAAAATTGAAGTTATGAAAAGACGTTTAAGTTTGCTAACTCCGCCCACACAGCCCAAACCAAAAGTGAAAAAGGAAGTAGATTTCCTTAGCACTCTTCGCAAAACGGCCGAAGAAAAAAAGAGAAAAGAGAGGGAAGAACTGGAGAGAAAAGAGAGAGAGCTAAGAGAAGACAAAGAGAGGAGGGAAAGAGAAGAGCGTGCTAAAAAGGCAAGAGAAGAAAAGGAGAGACGTGAAAGGGAAGAAAGAGAAGAGAAGGAGAGGCGAGAAAAGGAAGAAAGAGAATTGAAGGAGAGGCGAGAAAAGGAAGAAAGAGAAGAGAAGGAAAGAAGAGAGAGGGAAGAGATTGAAATGATGAAGCAAGAAGCGAAACTTCAGAAGGAGATGAAAGAGCGGAAAGAGAGAGAGAGAAAAGAAAGGGAGGAGAGAATTGAAAAAGAGCGTCTGGAAAAAGAAGAGATGGAGAGGAGAGAAAAAGAAGAAAGGAAGAGAAAGAGAAGAGAAGAAAGAGAGAGAAAAGAAAGGGAAGAACGGGAGAGAGAAGAGAGGGAGGAAAGAGAGAGAATAGAAAGAGAGGAAGAAAGAATCAGACAGGAAAGAGAGGAGGAAGAGAGAATAAAACGAGAAGAGCAGGAGAGAAAAGAGAGAGAGGAAAGGGAAAGAATAGAAAGAGAAGAAAAAGAAAGGAAGGAACGCGAAGAACGAGAAGAGAGGGAGAGAAAAGAAAGGGAGAGGAAAGAGAAAGAAGAAGAAGAGATGAAGATTCGAGAGATGATTAAAGAAAAAGAGAGGAAAGAAAAAGAAGAAAGAGAGAAAAGAGAAAAAGAGGAGCGAGAGAAAAGAGAGAGACAGGAGCGAGTTGCGAAAAGAATGGAAGAAATGGAAAGAAAAGAAAGAGAGGAAAAAGAGAAGCGTAAGAATAAAGAGATCGAATGGAAAGAGAGATCTGAAAGACTTAGGAAAGAAAAATTAGAAAAACAAAGAAAAGAACAGGAAGAAAAGGAAAGACTAGAAAGAGAGGAGAAAGAAAGAGAGGAAAAAGTAAAGAAAGAAAGAGAAGAAAGGTTGATCAGAAAGCGAGAAGAGAAAGAAAGGAAAGAAAGAGAGGAAAGAGAGAGAATTGAACAAGAAGAGAGAGAGAAAATTGAACGAGAAAAGAAAGAAAAAGAAGAAAAGGAGAGGAAAGAGCGTGAAGAAAAAGAGAGGATAGAAAGGGAAGAGAAAGAAAGGGTAGAAAGGGAGGAGAAAGAAAGACTAGAACGAGAAGAGGAAAAGAAAAGAGAAAAAGAAGAGAAAGAAAAATTAGAAAGAGAAGAGAAATTAAGAGTAGAAAGAGAAGAGAAAGAAAGGTTGGAAAGAGAAGAGAAAGAAAGGATAGAAAGAGAAGAGAAAGAAAGGGTAGAAAGGGAGGAGAAAGAAAGACTAGAACGGGAAGAGGAAAAGAAAAGAGAAAAAGAAGAGAAAGAAAAATTAGAAAGGGAAGAGAAAGCAAGGCAGGAAAAAGAGAAAATAAGAGTAGAAAGAGAAGAGAAACAAAGGTTAGAAGAAGAAGAGAAACAAAGGTTGGAAAGAGAAGAGAAAGAAAGGGTGGAAAGAGAAGAGAAAGAAAGGGTAGAACGAGATGAGAAAAAGAAAAGAGAAAAAGAAGAAAAGAATAGAAAGGAAAGGGACGAGAAAGAACAGTTAGAGCGAGAAGAGAAAGAGGGGAAGGGAAAAGAGAAAGTAAGGATAGAACAAGAAGAGAAAAACATGAAAGAAAACGAAAAATTAGAAAGAAAGGAAAGGGAAGAAATAGAACTACTGGAAAGAAAAGAGAAAGACAGGAAGGAAAAAGAGAACGTAAGAGTAGAACGAAAAGAGAAGGACATACGGGAAAGAGAGGAGAAAGAACGACTAGATCGTGAACAAATCGTGAGGAACGAAGAAGAAGAAAAGGAAGGAGCTGAAAGGGAAGAGAAAGAAAAGCTCGAAAGAGAAGAGAAAGAGAATATAGAAAAAGCGAAAGTAAGGGTAGAACGAGAAGAAAAGGGAAGAGGTGAAGAAGAAGAGAGAGAAAAGTTAGAAAGTAAGGAAAAAGACAGAGAAATGATAGAAAATATAGATACAGAAGAGAAAGAGAGAGAAGAGACAGAAAAGATAGAGGGAGAAGAGAAAATAAGGAAAGAAAGAGATTACGAAGTAAAGATAAAAAGAGAAGAGAAAGTGAGAAATGAAAGAGACAAGAAAGAAAGGGCAGAAAGATCAGAGAAAGAGTTAAATGAAGTAGAAAGAAAAGAAAAAGACAAGGGAGAAAGAGAGAAGAGAGAAGCGATAGAAATAGAAGAGAAAGAAAGAAAGGAGAGAGAAAATAAATTATGCATAGAAGAAAAGAAAGAAAGAGTTGAAAAAGAAGGAATAGAAATAGATTTAAAAGAAAGAAAAGAACAAGATGAGAGAGAGAGGGTAGAAAAAGAAGTTAGAGACTTAAAGGAAAGCGAAGAGATAGAACGAAATGACCGAGTAGAGAAAGATAGAATAGCAGGAGAAAAAGAGATAAAAGAAAAAGAGCAACTAGAAAGTGAGGATAAAGAAATGAATGAAAGTGAGCGAGAAGAAAAAACAGAGAGAAAAGAATATGTGGAAAAAGTAGAAGAAATAGGAAAGAACGAAAAAGAGAAAGCAGAAAGAATTGAAAGAGGAGGAAAAGAAATAGAAGTGATAGAAGAAAAAGAACGAATTGAAAGATTTAAAAAAGTAAAGAAAGAAATGAAAGAGAACGAAGACGGGGTGATTGTGACGGAGGAGAAAGAAGAAAGACATAAAGGGCAAGAGAAAGCAGAAAGACAAGTTATGTTAAGAAAAAATGATGAAAAAGAAAATGAAAAGCTGAAAGAGAGAGATATAAAATCCAATGAAAATAAAGAAAAATCTACGGGTGAGACGATATCTTGTCATGTAGCGAAAACCCTATATGAAGACAAGGCAACCAGAATTGCAGACGACACCAGTAATACTACTAAGGAATTAACAGATGCATTGTCAAGCAGAGAAATACCATCAACTGTTGAGAAAACAGAGCGTCCGGTGCCTGAATCTTTAATTCTAATCTCGGATGTTAACGATACACCACCGGAAACGGAGGGTTCTTATCTGGAGAAAGAAACGCAAGAGATAGGTGCAACTAAAAGTAACCTTCCAATAGATAGCGCTGTTAAAAGTTCCAGTAGTTTCCCTATTGATGAAAGTCCTCTTATAGCCTTTAAAGGCGTCCTTACAGATAGTATTTTCGATAAAACTCCCCAAAAAGAAAATAATACAGAATTATCCAAGGGAGCTAATGAGGATATAACAATTATGATTTCTAATGATAGCGATTTAGAAAAATCTAAAATGTTGCAAATCGAGCAAACTATCCAGGAAACATCTAAAGGTAAGGTCTTTGATTCTAGGAAGAACATTGATGTCATATCTGTTGAAAATAGCGAAGACGTTTCTGACGATAAGATCACTACAGAAAGACCTGCTAGTATCCCGGTCTCTTCTGAAGAAGTAAAAGGACGTGCTGAAACGAAATTCTTAGGGGATGAAAGCCGAGCAAAATCTGGCAGATCGCCTGGTGTTGAGGTTAGATTTAAGAATGATAGTGAAGAACCGTCGAAAAATCACTCGCTTGTATATCAGTCTGATTCTAATCGGAACAAAGTAAATTTTAGTGATGAGGATAGAGTAATAAATGAAACTGAAAAGAAATCTCAGGCGTTTGACAGAGTTAGGAAACAAAAATCAGCAAAAGTCAAGTATGCTTCAGAACAATTCAAAGATGACGTAAATGAAAATAGCTCTGTTATTGGCCACCCTCCAAGCGCCGTGTCTGTTTCGACCCCGACTTGCCCAGGTGACCATAAAACAATGAATACAGAATTACAATCATCTCGGGATATATTTGAAGTTATAAAGAAACAAACGAGCGAATACTTAGAAAGTAGCTTCGACAAGACACTCACTCAATCTCCTATGAGCAAGTCTCTTGAGATTAAACATTCAGATAATAGGTTGGGGCCTATCATGACTAGATCGCTCGAGGAAGCTTATGGTTATCAGAAGCAGTTAAGTACAAAGGGCACTGTAGAAGACTGGCTCGGCTATACCCCTTATCGTGCTAAAAGCCCCTCGGTCGAGAGCCGGCTGAAGAGCAGCTCCGTCGGCTCTCGACATAGTATCAATACGGAGGACATGCTGGAAGATGAGTCTTTACAGTCTTTTCCCAGTAGTGTCATCGAAGGACAGTTCGATGACGTCTCCTCCGGTTCAGGAACGAGCTCCCGTGAGACTTCGCCCGAAACCGACCATGTTGACGAAGCTTCGGAAGGATCTCAAGAGAGCGCGTTCGGCTCTGGTCAGTTCGACGACGCTGACACAGACACGCGAGTAGGTATTCCGTTGCCAAAAAAGAACATGCAAACTCACAAAGGTGACGCCGTTTTATCCGAGAGTTCGACGGCAAAGAGTGAGAAATTAAGTAAGCAACCATCTTTTAATAAAAGTCTCTCGGAGACTGCGTCGAAATCCTACGAGTGTAAGGACGAAGATGGGGATTATTCAGAGGTTAAAAGTTCGCAGACTCGCTTAAGTGATTCGAGGGAATCGTTGAGAATAAAACCAGAAGATAAAAAGCTTGAAGACACAATCACCGTTGAAGATCTTCGTGATGTGAAAGAAATGATTTCATTCCAAAAAGTAGATGATAGTCAGCGTGTCTGCAAGGAAAAATTCTACGATCCGCGGAGAGAGTCGGTTTTGAGTGACACCATTGACGACGAATTTTTCGATGTTATTACAGAGTCTCTAGTTAAAAATAAGTCCATGACTGATTTAACCGTGTCTCTAGAAGATAAGGATAAACTAAAACTACTCTTTGCAGAAATCATGAACGGCACGGAACTAGACAGAATAGAAAACATCCCTTCTCTACAAGAACAGTGCAATTTTATGGAAGTTGATCCATTTAAGGATATGGTGTGTGAAGAATTATGGAATCAAAAATTTGGCTTGGTGTCGAGAGAAATGGTGTTTTCGGTAGAAATGCTAAGTGATGAAAAATTCGATTCAACGAAAGATTTCGCGGACAATAGAGATGACTGCTGCGTCTCGGAGGTTGAACTGCCAAAATATTATGCTTCCGAAGAAATTTGGGATCCGAAATTCGGGTTAATATCACGAAATACGCTGTATTCAACAGAAATGCTTGATGACACCAAATTCATCTCCTCAGAGGAATTCACTGTTTCTGAAGACGTCTGCAATTGTACTGAAGTAGAAATCCCGAAATATTTTATCTCCGAAGAAATTTGGAATGCCAAATTTGGGCTGATATCAAGAAACATGTTAACATTTTCAGCAGACATACCGGACGAAGACGGACGTGATTATCTCAAGGAGGTTAATGTTTCTGAAGATGTGTGCAATTTTATCGAAATCAAAGTACCTGAATATTTCGTGTCCGCAGGATCATATAAGATGACTGAACGAGATTTGCTATTTACAATAGAATCATCACAAATCATAGATCATCAATCCACAGACAAATACGAGATTCTTGGAGAAAAATGCGATTTCATAAACGTGGAGCTATCTAAGTATTTCATTCCGGTTAACATCTGGGATAGCATTTTATCGCGAAAATGCCTGGTGTTTGTTACAGAAATATGGGATCATTACGAAGCAGAATCGGCTGAGATCTTTGAATCACCACAAAAAATTTGCATTTCTCTCGAAGTTGAATTGCGGACAGAAACTGCCGAAATTGCCGATGAAATTGAAATAAAATTCCGAGAGGAAACGCCCGAAGAGCGGGAAGAAAGAGAAAGAGAAGAGAGAGAGAGGCAAGAAAGAGAGATTCGGGAGAATGAGGAGCGACAAGAGAGGGAGTTGAAAGAAAGGAAAGAGAGGGAAAGGAAAGAGAGAGAAGAAAGAATCGAAAAACAGAAACAAGAACGGGAGGAAATGGAAAAGAGAAAATTAGAAGAGAAACGAATGAGGAGGAGGGAGGAAAGACAGAAACAAGAGAGGGAAGAAAGAGAGAAACTGGAGAGAGAAGAAAGAGAGAAAACGGAACGGGAAGAAAGATTAATTAAAGAAGCAAAAGAGAATGAAAGGAAAGAACGGCAAAAAAAGAGGGAAGAAAAAGAGAGAAAGTTGAGAGAAGAAATAGAGAGAAAAGAGAGAAGAGAATTTGAGAGATTAGAAAGAGAGGAACGGCGAAGAAGGGAATTAGTAGAAATAGAGAGAAGGGCAAGGAAAGAAAGAGAGAGGAAAGAAAGAGAAGAAAAAGAGAGATTAGAGAGAGAGAGAAAAGAAAAGGAAGAAAAAGAGAGATTAGAAAGAGAGGAAAAAGAAAGGAAAGAAAGAGAAGAAAAAGAGAGATTAGAGAGAGAGAGAAAAGAAAAGGAAGAAAAAGAGAGATTAGAAAGAGAGGAAAAAGAAAGGAAAGAAAGAGAAGAAAAAGAGAGATTAGAGAGAGAGAGAAAAGAAAAGGGAGAAAAAGAGAGATTAGAAAGAGAGGTAAAAGAGAGGAAAGAAAGAGAGAAGAAAGAAAAAGAAGAACGAGAGAAGGTTGAAAGAGAAGAAAATGAGAAAGAAAGAGAAAAAATACAAAGCGAGAGACAGGAGAAAGAGAAGCAAGAACGGCTGGAAAAGGAGAGAGTTGAAAGAGAAGGAAGGCAAAAAGAAGAGAAAGAGAAAAAAGAAAGAGAAGAAATAGAACGGATAGAAAAGCAAAAGCATGATGAGAAAGAGAAAGAAGAACGAAAAATGAAAGAAAAGGAAAAAGCAGAGAAAATAATGAAAGAAGAAAAGGAAAGAATAGAAAAGGAGGAGAAAGAGAGAACGGAAAGAAATATGAAAGAAATAGAAGAAAGGGAAATCATTGAAAGAAAAGAAAAAGAAAGAATAGAAAGGGAAGAGAGGGTGGCTAAAGAAGGAGAAGAAAGAAAGAAGAAAGAAGAAGAAATGGAGAAAAGAGAGAGAGAAGAAAGAAAAAAGAGAGAAAGTGAAGAGAGTGAGGAGAAAGAAAGGGAAGAAAAAAGGAGAAATGAAAAGAAAGAATTTGAGAAAAACAAAGAAGAAAAGCGAAAAATAGAAGAGGAAGAGAAGGCTGCACAAGAAAAGAAAGAAAGAGAAGAAATAATTTTACGAGAAGAGACAGAAAGAAAAGTGAAAGAAGAAAGGATGAAGAAAGAAAGGGAAGAAAAAGCGATTAGAGAAAGAGAGGAAATACAAAAGAAAGAAAGTGGGGGGAAAGCGAGTAAAAGTATTGTAGAGATGGAAAGTGAGATGCAACGAATGGAAAGAGAAAGAAAAGAAAGAGAGGAAAGAAAAGTGAGATTGAAAGAAAAAGAGAGAAAAGAAAGAGGAGAGAAGGAGAAAAAGGAACAGGAAGAAAATGAGAGAAATGAGAAAGAGACAGACAAGATGACAAATGCAGTCAAAAAGCAAGATGGCGGAAAAGAAATGCAAGAAAGACGAGATGTTGAGTTGCGAGAGAATGAGACGAGTGAGCAATCGAAATCAAACGAAAGAACGAGTGATGTGAGTGAGAATGAAGAAACTTGGGAACAGAAACGAACGAAAAGAGCTCTCGATTTTCTTCGCGCCTTCAATGATGACGCTCAAACTTTCCCTGACACCAATGAAGAGCTTGTAATACATTCCGCTGGTGCAGACGACAGAGAAAACGATAATCATCTGCACTCGGACGGTGATCACAACAAACATTCCAATAAATCAGACCCGAAAGGGGACACCGGATATTCACGTTATTTACCGAGAAGACGGTCATACCTGTACGTAATCGACGAAACCAGTGAGTCTACGAGCTCAGGATCAGAAGAAGAGGTTCGTGGATCAAACCAAACGGAGGACAGTTATGAGGTCAGTACTAAAAAAAAAAAAAAAGAGACCATTAAAATTATTAAACATATACATCACAATTCCCTTTGAACATATGAATGAATATATATATATGTATGTGTGTGTGTGAATAAAAATGACAATAGGAAAACTAGTAATTGCTGACGCGTTTCGTCCAATGTGGACTTTATCAACGCAAAATACGAAATGAATTTAATTGAACAAGGTAACTAATAAAAACAAAAATCAGAATGTTCCTAGCAACTGGAATGTAGAGAACGCTATTTTTATATTGTTAACTGAAAATAACGTCAGTATTTGTCACGTGTGGAGAATATTGTCATTATATCTGTGTTGATGTATTCAACCATTTTCTTTTGATTTTATGAATCTGTTGTGTACATTTGTTTGTGAGAGCAGTAATTTTGTTAAGAAAGGTGAAATGGGGAAAAAACCTGGGCGTAGATTAATATTTGGTTAATATTCTATGGCAGCACTCTCTAGACTTTTCCTTCTGAGTGAGTTATTTTCTTTTTTTATGAATGTAGCATTTTTTAAATCAAAATTATGTTTGAATTTATTTCTATGTGTGACTAGTGCATTAGTTAAGTTGTTTTTTGTGAGGTCTCTTTTGTGCTCATAAATGCGTTTTTTTTTAACTTCTACTTGTTTCTCCAATATATTGGGAGGAACAGTTTTGGCAATTTATTTTATAAATGCCTGCTTCAGAAATATTATTGCTATTAGTGTTTGAAGATCTTCGTATATCCATAATGGTTTTGGAAGTGTTTGTGACTATTTCAAGATTATTTAGATGGGATAGGTTATTCTGTCAGCAATTACTAGTTTTCCTATTGTCATTTTTATTCATAAATATAGTCTTCTCTACTGGTTAAATAGGAAAAATTTTCATATATATATATATATATATATATATATATATATATATACACATAATAACAGGGTAATTTTTATTGATTTTAATTATTTTTCAGCTATTCATTGACCTTTTGTGTGCGTTTTCTCTGTGTGGATTGTTTTGTTAAGAAAATTTAAAAATCTAGAAAAGTCAGATATGAGATTGAGTTATAAGTAATTTTTTGCGGAGGGGTGGCAATCACCTGTAATTTTTTGACAAATAAAGTTGATTATGATTATTTAAGGCCTAACCTAATAAATACGTATGTACTAGGTTGTTCAAAAAGTTCGTTCCCTTTATTAAGTAGAAAATTTCCTTAATAACCAAACGAAATTTTTGGACAACACAATACAAGAGCGGCGTAGAAAAGTTCTCGAACTGGCACACTTCCCAAAATCCGACTCAATGTTTTTTTGTTTGTTTTTATAAGGGTTTCTTAGTTAAATCTAGAAATTGCACTTTTCAAGGAATATTTGAAAAAAATCAAGGATTCTAAAATCATTTATATATATATATGTGAGTGTGTGTGTAGTGTAACCTTATAACCTTACACAAGTCCACTAATGTGGGGGCTGTGCAACTGGTAATGGTCCACGAGACTAGCTAAGTAACTTGAGTGTCATCCATTTGCAGGCAAATCACAAAAATTTAAAATGCTGATTTTCAGGACAAGCACCCCCTCCCCCAAAATGGAAAACTGGAGTAACATTTCATAACCCTGCCTCTGCTCCAGACAAAGATGAATAAATATCCATTGGATTTTCGATTAAACATTTCACTCTTAACAAGACGTTATCTTCGAAATCAGAACAGTCATTTGCTATGATTAAATATCATTAGTTGGTCTTAATCCTTAAGATTATCTTCTATGGTACTTGTGAGTCGGTTCGTTCTTAACGCTGCTCATCACTCAAACATCAAACCATTGATAACATGTCAATACCCTTCTGAGATATCTGACAATACACCACGTGCAAAAGTGGTGGATGAGTGAACACATCCGTTGATAATGTTTTCCGTGAGGATAAAAATCACACCACCATCTTCGTCTATATATATTCTTTAATGCCCGACCATTAACAAAAGTGCATTTCTATAGTACAATCAATTACAATGTATTTCTACAGTAAAACGTTTAGCAATGCATTCATATTGAACATATTCTGTCAATAACGCTTACATTAATTTTTGATCCATATTTATATTGTAAGAATTTACAAAATGCTGTTACATTAATTCCAAACCACTGACAATACATTTTCTCTAAACCCGCTCAAACAAATTTTTGGTCAAGAAATGAAAAATCTGGTGTTCAGCCATCGGAAAGAGTTCGTTTGTTAATGCAGAAAAACTTAAATCGAAGTCAGAAAATGAATGAAAGTCAGTGGGTGTCATTTAGAAAAGAGGGAAAATGTTAACCCCGTCTATTGGTCTTTACTAAAATACGACTGTTATTATTACTTCATGTTCCCTTTAATGACCCAAAAATTTATTTGTTAAGGTTTTTTTTCTGTCTTTCCCGGAACATTCTATTGATTCCCCCAAGTCCCATATATATATATATATATATATATATATATATATATATATATATATATATATATATATATAAACAATGATGGATGAATTCTTTCAGATTTGGTAATTTTTCTAGTTCTAGCTTATGGTTTCGATTAAATCCTGGAATGAATATGTATTTAATCCACATCCATGATTTTGCTACTAACCAGCTGTTGTTTCATTTCCACACCAATTTTATTTTACATGTAATTTCGCAAAGAATAAATGTATACATAAGAATCACTCATGGCCAAATGATACCCACTGTTCATCAGTCGCCCAAAGCTACCTGCCGTTTTTTTATATTATTTACTAATCTTTACGTTGCCGAGTTCAAGACAACAAACAACCTTTGGTACTTGGTGTTCATAAGAATTTAACTGCTGACGTTTTTGACAATGTTTCTGTAGAGTTGAGAAAAGAACAAAAGAGATTAATACACTTTTCAAAGGCGCAACTTTTCTCTTGCTTCTCTTTTTATCAATTTATCAATATCTTATCAAGGAACTGACCGTATATTGATCTCGGATGTGAACGCCATTAAAGGAACCGAGAAGCGAAGTATCATATTCACGGAAAAACATTATGGCGTTTGTTTATTTTTATCAGGGAAATTATTTAACGTCGACTCCCAATATGGAATGCCAAAATTAGTGATCTGAGCACTAGTTTCCACATAACGTTAAACACTATACTGGATTTGCTTATACGCTGGGTAATTATGCTTGTTGATCTCAAATCTTTAGATAACACTGAAGTCAAACATATCTTTTTTCTGTCAGACGCTAATTTCTGACTACTGAGAACCTTGACGCCTGGTAAATGTCAGACTGCATAATTTACGTTATTTAACACGTTATTTAGACTAATATCTTCTTTACTTTTTTATCACAAAGTTTCGACCGTCATAGCATTTGACCTTCATCAGATGTATGTTGCATGAAGTGGTCTTTCGAAGTACGTTTTTTTCTTTCTCTTTCTCACTTTAACAGTTTAACAATGGCACCAAGCGCTAAAGATTTGTTCTAACAGATCTTTCAGACAAGTCTAGAAAAAGCAATCTATTCTTATGATGTAATTGATCGGCCTGAGTACTGAGCCTAATTTGATTTTAAAATTTAATGTCGTTTTTTTATTACACGGCTAATGGATTCATTCATGCATTCATCTTTTTTTCCTTTGCATATTTTCTATGTTACTTCCTTATCAACTTGTAATATGGCCACACTCCATAGGAGAGATATTTGCCATTCTCTTTGCTAAATCTGATTTCATCGTGTTCAAAACAACAAAGAGGCAAATGTTAGCTCTAAAAAAAATGTGTGGTCCAATGAAACTCTTAGAAATTTTGAAAAACATACTCTCGAGATGCGGAATGTGAATTCTAGTATCGTCCGAAGCGATTTCTTTTGAATTCTCGTTAAATTAATTGCAAAATACTGGCTCAATTAAAGAACGTTGCGGTAAAATTCGTCTCCGATAAACGTAAAGAAAATAGAAAATGAGTCAGCCGTAAAAATTTAAGGTGACTATTCAAAACTAGTCAACAATTCAGCGTTGAATAAAGTAAGGTTTAAATGACGATGACAAAAGACTGTCACAAATAAGAAACCTGTTTAATCACGACAGTCTCGGTATTCGTAGGATTCGATCTCGTAGCCTGTCCAAGTCTTATTTCTTTAATCTGAATTCTTTCAATTTAGGTCACCAGCAAAACTATTTATAAAAATTTGAAATAAGTTGTATTATAATTATATATGTGTCTATGTGCTTCCATTACGTTAAACCTTTTCCAATTGATATTCACAGGAAAGCTCCTTACAGAACGAAGCCACCATACAAAATAGAAGCATTCCCCAACCGGTAGAGACGACCCTAGTAAGTAAAATCAATTTCGTTTCCATTTTGTTCAGATTAAATCCGGTATTGAGTCACTTAAAATGAAGATTGTAAAGAAGAGTTGAGTTTTTTTCTATCTGGCTAACTGATAACATCTGTTGTTTCTGTTCCTTAATTGGAACACATTCACCTTTTCTAAAATTAATATTACCATATCATCTATGACTTTTCATAATTATCACAGGGTTTTTATTAATACACAACGATTAAGATTATCCCAGGTTTTGCTAATGATAAATCTATCAGTGATTTAAAAATTATTGCCAAAGCTCCGACAACTGTGGGGATATATCTCTTATATAATAGCCATATTCTGTCAGCAATGTTTTCCTCAATCCTGACACTGACAATGAGGCATTTCTATAATGACTTAATTAAAAATACTTTTCTAGAGTAAAATCATTTACGTTATATATAATTTATTTCATGATCACTGGTAATAATATATTCCTGTGATAAAATTAAAAACACACACTCTCTCACTCTCTCTCTCTCTCTCTCTCTTTCCTCATTATGTGTCCAAGAAGTTTTAACTCTCTTTTCCTGATTCTACGTATAAGTGTTATTTTTGTTGCCATAGCGAAAGATGCCTTCCAAGAGCTAAACAAAGAATTAAAAAAACAGGATAGAAACAAGGATAAAAATAGTGATCAGCGTTGTAATATCAATCCTCCTATAAGATATTGTAGACTTGACAATTTCCTCATAAATGAAGGGGAAACTTGAGACAACAGAGATGTCGTTCTGCATGGATAAAGATGCTGACAATGACGGATTATGTGAGCAACAAGTAAATTTTTGGAAAAATAGGAACCAAAAGGAATTTTATTCTTTCAATCAGAAAGAGACAGTGGAATTTTATGGGACACATTATGAGAAAAGAGTACTTAGAGAATTTGACACTCACAAGACATAATGAAATCAAGCAGAAACAAAATGTAACTTAAGTAATGAGCTTGTGAAAATTGGTAACCGAGAGATATTGATTGATCAATTCGTTCTCTACGGCTTCTCAATCTCTTGCAGGTTATTTAAAGCCAGAGAATATTTTTAGATTGTACGAATTAAAAATTACAATTATTTTTTTTTTCTTGCTTTTTTGAGATAATAATGATTTGGTGATACAAGCCTTACTAATTAACTGGGGGAGAAGCGGTTGGTTCATACCTTTCCCAATGGTATTTTCGCGTAAGTGAATATGATGAACCTGACTGAAATTGAACTCGTCTCTCTGATTAATAACTCCGAGCCATTATCCATTACACCACCTACACATCCAAGCTTACAGCACCTGGTATTCCCCTAAGTAGTCGCCCATCTAGGCACTGACCAGATTTATTATCACACGTTACATTCGTCTTTTATGTGCCGTGCCCCTTCAGAAATTAGATGATCATGGATCCCCATAACTTTCTGGTCTTTGTAGCTCTAAGTAATTTTTTTAATCATTTCAACCCAATAAAGGCGATAAAGTCACTAAGACTCTCACTAAGAGAGAGCTGAGTGTTAGAGAATGAGAAAAATACCGTTAAGGAGAAGGAACAATAAAAGAACAGAAAATAAGAAGACAAAAGATAACGATTGACATTGGATTTAATTTTTTGAAGATCAAAACAAGAAACTGGAAGAGAGTTTCACAAGCGAGAAGTGCGGTAAAAAAAAACTATTAGCACAGAACTTATGGTTACATCTAGACATTTCAACTATAAAGATGAGAACTTGCTACCAATTTAGTACTGCGCTTAAATTCATAGTCTTTTTTGTTTGCAGTTTTGATATCCTTCCCACTCTCTGACCTGCCATTCATTGACACACCCTTGATAGATAGGTTGCTTTGACCTTCTTTCTTACAATATATCTTGGAAGTATCAAATTCTCCAAGCCCTCGTTCCTTGTTCTATATCATAAAAATTGCAACTGTCTTTTATTCTAAATACAAATTTCTTTTTTGTTTCTATTTTCTTAAAATTTCCACTCACCGTCAATGGTATTGTGAGCGTTTTTTCTGTAGAACCACATCTCTGTTGCCTCAAGTATTCTCTTTGTCTGTAAGGAAGATTAACTGCTATATAGGAGGATTGATATTACATAGCAGTTCAACACTTTTTCTTTCTTTCTAACGACGGTTTCATTACATTCTAACGTCTATTAATGCACCTCTTCTCCCCCAGCTACGGGTTAATTAGTAGGATTTGTATCAGTAAGTCATTATTATCTTCAAATAATTTTTACAATATAAAAATATTTTCTGGTTTTAAATAACCTACAAATTGATAAACCGTAAAAAAAAACAATCACAATTATTAACTCTTATTATAATGTTTCCAGTTCATGAACTGGTGTCGTCAGAACTGTTGTTATCATTCTATAAATTATTCGGACGAGTATCTTGATCTTTGTTACTTGAATTCCTATCTAACAGTTGGTTCCTTTACCGAACTATTTAATATTAAATTGTAAAGTTAGTTTGTTGACCAGAGCTCTACGCCATGCGTCCATGGTATCTGAAGCTAATATCCGAATCAAGCCAGACACTCCCTTATATACACGGAATGTTTTTACCGACTAAATATTAATTTGAAAGAACTTTATTTCGTTTTATCCCATTCTACTGCGCACAGTTGCCTCCAGATTTATCCAAATGTCTGCTTGCTTAATTAAGAAGATGTCGTTTCTTATACTTAGTTTCTCGTCTCAAACTGTCACTAAGCTCGATTCACAAATGACTCCTGCGATTTGCTCTTCTCTCTGTGAAGAGAGATTCTGTCATGTAATTGGTTGGATATTCTCTTATGGTACCAACCTGGGATTTGGTGCTCATTACATTTTCTCCGTACTATAATCAAAACAGACATCTCATTTGCGTCAGAGACCAGCTCCTTTCGCCAAGCATGTGTGCATACATACACACTTGCCATACTCGCGTATAAGTCTGTGTAGAGACTGTCCATTGACTGGGATAGTCGTGTATTTTCCAGAGGTGCCAGTGTTTGGTGTTCGAGCACGGCCGAAAGTCTCATTACAAAGCTCACTCAAACTATCTGATTTCAGAAACTGGAAAACTCTCTATCTCTCCTTTCTGCTCCCCTTTCTCTCTCCTTTCTCACTCTCTCTCTCCTGCTATATATATATATATATATATTTTTAATACATTTTTTATGTTTATACGTTCTTTTTATAGATACAAATATTTAAGTAAATTGTCTGTTTATAATAAACAGTATTAACAACATTTACTGGCTTGAATGTCCGAAAAATTTTCATAGAAAATATGCGTCCTCCGACAGGAATCGAAACTGTATCCTATAAGGAACCGTCATATAGCCTGACGTGCCTTAACGACTTAGCCACAGAGGAGCGTTTCGGTTAGCAAGTCGATTTTACTGTTTTAAACTATAATTACGGTTAAAATAATTGTCGAACTTTGTCCATTTCATAATATATATATATATATATATGTTTTCTCTCTCTCTTTCTCTCTCTCCAGTCTTTCTCTCTCTCTTTCTCTCTCTCCAGTGTTTCAAGGCTTGATAGCGTATCTGTAACAAATTATTATCTGTACCTGATCAGGAAATAATAATTGAACATTCGTAGTAAATAAACTTGAAAGGTACGGACAAGTTACGATCAAATAATGTTCAGTATGCTATATTTACAATGGTAATGAGTGAAATCAACACGCAACACTGAATTTGATTGTGAGGGCTTGTTTGAAGTATGAGTTTATACTTGGAACAAATGGCGATATATTTGGTAAAGTGAAGTTAGAGATATTACGACTGCACAGTTATTCAGGAGATTTTCAGCTGAAAATGTCTCTTGAATTATGCACTTTTTAAGGGACGCTAAGCATTAATGAACTGAATACATCTTGCGTTACTTCAGCCGTGTAAGATGCTTGCATTTAAGCTCAACAGAAGCAATGGAGGTATGTCTTCACCTGCACTACAATGGGAAAATATAGATGTTAAGGAAATGGCTGGCCTCTGCAATCATTGAGCAAAACAATCAGCACTGATTAAAAAACTTACCCTTTCTTCTTTCATGCAAATATATATATATATATATATATATATATATATATATATATATATATATATATATATATACGCATACCTGCGTTTTTGGTGTGCAACTTAAGTTTTGTTGGTTTTCCAGCTGATAGGTCACAAGGTATATTTTATGTTTTTATAAAAATTTACAGATGTCATATTGGAAGAACGCTGCTTATAGTCCAAAAATAGAAATAAAATATTACAAAAGATGCAGGAAATGAAATGCAGATAGTGTTCAATTTCAAAAAAGGGGGGATTTTAAAAAAATAAATTAAATTAAATAAATAAAGGAAAAAAATACAAATCTGTGTATTTTTATAATTACATAAAATATACCTTGTGGTCGATGAGCTAGAAAACCAGCGAAACTTAAGTCGCACACCAAAACGTAGGCATACGTATATGTGTATTTATTAATATATATATATATATATATTTGCTCTGTCTAACCATATCGAGCATTATTTTGTTTACACCACATGAATTAATTTAATTATTATTTATTTGCTTGCTTGTGTATGCACGCCAACACAGTTACTTATATCTGTTTATTTTATTTACCTAACTCTATATATATATATATATATATATATATATATATATATATGGGGGGGTCGGGGGGAAGCTGTAGACAGATATTGGGAATTATATATACACATGGATAAAAACTGGGTTGAAATTCTTTTTTTAATCGAGTTCAGCCCAATCAAGGCAATAAAGCCACTGGGATACAAGGGGTTACTGGATGTGAAAGTATTAGAAAAGAGAAACATTATTAAGGAACGAGAACAAAAGAAGAGAAATTAGGAGGACAGTAGAAAGCGACTGGCATTGCATTTAAGTTTTTGAAGATTAAAGTTGACTGGAAATCATGGCACCGGAAGAGCGTTCCACAAGTGAGAAGTGCGAGAGAGAAAAAAAGCTGTTAGCATAGAACTTACGGTTACTTCTAACCAACTCAACTGGAAGTTGGTGAGATCTCGTCTCGAGTCTTATACTGTGCTTAAATTTATAAAGTCTCTCTATCATGGTGAAGAACTAATTCCGAACAGTTGCAATGAAAGTATTTATAGAAAAAAATCAAATTTCTATAACAATACAGCTGAGGTAAAGATCAAACATTCAGCCACTTAACGCGAATCCCGTTTTGTCTCGCTGATGCAGATTTTGATTCTTTCCAAATAGAATTCTTTCTCTGTTGGGGCCAATTCATTTTCCAGATATGGCAAGGTCTATTATATATTCATCATAGAAATATTAAATATAGACAATATATATATATATATATATATATTGTTGTAATGGAATGTCCCACACTCCCTATTGCCTATATGAACTAACTATATCAATAGCTATATATAGTGAGCATAGGATAAACCTGGGGGATTGCTTCGTGAATTACTAGCCTGCCACCCGATTCCCTGTCTTTCAGTATTGTATTCTCTTTTACAATAAACCTCTCTTCTTTCATCTACGCGCTGTTCCTTCACTCGAGTACCACCTTTGTCTGTTTGTAACCTTTTTAAGGATACAACACACACACACACACACACACACATATATATATTGACGATGCTAAACAAAACAAACAGACATTACCGTCTGTGATACACCCCTAGAACAAGTAGAGCATTTTCTATATTTAGACAGCCTTTTATCAAAGAAATGTCCCTCAGAAAAGGATGTGGAACACAGAATTGGAGCTGCACACGTGTTATTTGGAAGGCTAATCAAATGCGTCTTCAAAAACAATTATCTGAACTTAACAAAAATTATGGTCATTTTAACTTGGCTATATGGTTGTGAAACCTGGACTCTATATCGCCGCAACATCCAAAAATTAGAACGCTTTCACCAGCAAAAGCTTCGTTCAATCTTGAACATCAAATAGAATTACGATGTAACCAACATCAAAGTTCTAGAAAGAGCCAATAGTCAAAGCATCGAATCGATGATCATTAACCTCCGTCTTCGATGGTCAGGACATGTAGTAAGAATGGAAGTGTCAAGGTTTTCACGTCAAATCTTATTCCGTGAGCTCACTTCAGGGAAAAGACCACGGGGTTGCCCTCTCTGAAGATACAAGGACCAATTCAAAACGACACTGAAAACCATTAGAGTTGAACTTAAATCGTTTGAAACACAAACACAAGACCGTACCAACTAGCGATGTTCCATCACCATCGGAACCAAAAACTTCGAAGCCACCAGAAGAGAAAAATGACAAGAGAGAAAGGCTCGATAAAATCAACCACGTCCTCCACCAACATTACTAAGCACTCAATACCATCGGCTCTTCTATGCAAGAATTGGTCTATTTACTTATTGACGCCATCATCATAAAGGAAGCGATCAGAAAAGAAGAAATTACATTCTTGCATACGACACATCTACACACACACAAATATATATATATATATATATATATATATATATATATATATATATATATATATAATAATTAATATGGGTAACCAAATGATAAACTGATAATACTTTTTAGTGATGTGTTTCGTTCCGAGAACGAACTTTATCATAAGTCTGAAGAACTTCCTTCTCGGAACAAAACGCATCACTAAGGATATTTTTTTCCCATCTTCTAAATTTCCTGATAGATAGATAGATAGATAGATAGATAGATAGATAGATAGATAGATAGATAGATATTCCATTAGGCAAATGAGTGTCCTACGAATTCAGTGAAATAAATAAAGGACAACAAATCATAATACATTTCCCACTTCTTTACGCAAGATAAATGAACTGTTTTTAATCTAATACTGACCCGTGATGAGATAATCGTCGTAAATGGCAATCGAAAGCGAGCACATATCACGCAATTAACAGATTATATCAGTTTTTTGTTTTGTTTTTAATTTCTTCCATATCAGAAAAAACGTTTTTGTTTACTTAATATACGTCTTTTGACTGCTTCAAAACAGCAGGTATCATCTGCAACAACCCTACAGTCTACACAGCTCACTCTCTCTCTCTCTTTTCCTCTCTCTCTCTCTCTTTACACACACAAACACACGCACACGTACGTGCTCCTTCTTTCTACCATTTTCTCTACTCTCACTGCTTTTATCAAACTTAGTATTTCTTTATTCTTGCTTAGCGACTTTATTTCTACACAATTCTCGCCATTCTTTTCTCTCCCACTCCTTACACTTGTTTCCATTGAAATATTTACTGGACGTCTGCCAGAGTGAAATTACAAACACGCTCGTCTCGCGATCTATTAGTAAGTTTAATGTGATCGACATTAACTAATCCATCACTACTCCGGTCTTGTATCAGACAAAGTTAAGCTTCATAAACATTTATAAAATAAATATGAATTGTTTATAAAATAAATATGAATTATTTTATATTGATTTTACTTGTTGGGTTTCTCGAAAACATTGCTATCAACAATACAACATAAAATAGGGAATTGCTGTTGCTGTGAGCGTTTTGTTCCAATTCCTATATTTTCCTCTTTTTCTGTTGGGAACTCAGAATGAGGGTGAATCCAATATTGTGTTTACTGGAGTTTATTTATCTGCAGCACTGACTAAAGACAACACCTCAAATCTCAACTTGAAGTCTCTTCAACTTATTAACAACGAAGAAGCTACAATAAAACATAATCATAAATACATAATATCAGTCAGTTATGTCCTATGCGTCATACACGCTTAGGCGATAATGTATCTTTCGATACATGACTGACGAGGCAGATTTTTCCCCGAAGTAGATTGCCATTTTTTCTGCGGTAGACCAGTTGCCATTCCAAGGAACCCGGTGTGTCCTGCCATTTGCCCATAGCTGGGGGTGGGGAGAAGAAGAGGATTCATACCTTTCCCAAGGGCATTAACAAGTAAGTGAATGTAATGGATTCGACTGGCATTCGAACTCGACTCTCCGATTCCTCAATCCGAACCGCTGTCCATTACTTCACCGTCCCTCCTAAATATATAATATACAGATACAAAATATGTAGTCTGTCTGTCTTTTAATCCGTCTAAAACTTGATCCATGCATTTACTCATTACTGATTATCTTTCTATCCATCGATGATACAGGTACGATTCATGTAGTCTGACATTCTTTTCATTCGAATAAATTTTGATCTCAAAATTTGATTCATATTTACTACTGTTTTGTTCTTCTATGAAGTCATTGTACTCAAAAGGGTTAGTAAGTTTATATTAAGTGGGTCAAAAATGTTTGGTAATACGAACAAAACGGCTAGTGACTGTAGAACCAATGAACTCGAACTATTGGGCTTCGATCTATATATTATAAAGATATGAAATAAAGTTCGGTAAAAACGAAAGCCACGTGATTAAATGTAGCTTAACATACCAATCATCATGACAGATTAAGCCAATCAAATTTTGAGAAAAAAAAAGATTGTGTGCTTTTTACTTTTTTTTTCATTTACGTTTTGTGGAGTGTTTACAATTCTTGCGCTTGACATACGGATCAAAAATGGTGGTCCAGTCAACGAACAAATAAATATAAACAAATGTGACTGTGACAGGTGTCGAATTTAGGATTGGAAAAATGTTATATCGTTTTACTTTTCACTTCTGCCTCTAAATATGTTTATGTGAGAGAAGCATTGTCTTTGCTTGGACACCAAGAGATAGAGGGAGAGAGAGGGGGATTTAAAAAGAAAGATTAAGGGATTTAGATATAAGGTTAACTTAGTACAGTACAAATGAAAGAATAACAATTTACTTAATTTTATCCAATACAAAGCTCGAAAGCAACTCAATGTGGAGTGTTACAGTCAAAATGTTAATGATTAACGAGGTCTGTGATATGAATAGAAGAGAATATGGTAGGAGGTGAAGAGCATGAAACCAAAAAGGAAGGATAAGGAGGAAAGATAGCGATTAACCCTTGACGAAAAAGTCAAGATTAATGCATTTAGGGAAGCACCCACGCGGAAGCTTGTTCTGCAAAAAGACACTTCTTGTAAACAAAAGCTTTCTGAATTGAACATATGGAATACGAAGAAATGAATATGATTCGTCTCCTTGAAAATGGCATAACACTGTCTGAACTGGTGGAACTAAAAAATGGACCAACAAGAAATGGCGATAAGAAAATTATATTACGCCAAGGATGGTTTATATGCTTTTATCTTGTCTCCTTGATTACCTTGATTAGTGCTAGTTTTTTTTTTTTTATCAAAATCATTAATTCAATTAAATGTATACTTATAATATATAGTAAACATCCATCAGTCTAGGAGACTATGGAGTCTAACAGATTGCCTAGCTAATCCCTATTGTAGGCGTCTGCTCAGGCATATTTGTGCTTCTTCAACACCCATGGTTTGTGCTGAAACTATGCGGAGCAGATCTCAGTTACAGTTTATGGTAGATAGCACATAATCTGTTGTGATCATCAGTTTGAAGTATGTTCAAACTCTCGGTCATGACGACTTGTGATTTCGTGCTACCATAACCATCGACGGCTTCTGAACAATTTAATTTCCTCAGTTTCATTCACATATACACAATCACATGTAATAATATTACTTTGACTATTAATTTAATATTTTGAACGTGTGTGAAAAATGAAATGTTACTATGGGTATTTTTGTTGTTGTTTGTTTTTCGTGATAACTGGTAGATAGAAAAATGTCTTCCGTTCGTTTAGGCCCGAGGGTAATTCGGTTTGATATTTGAATTTTAATGAAAATTTTTTTCTTTTTCTAGTCTGACGAAAAGAGTCCTGAAAAAGTTAATGAAAATGAGGTTCTCAAAAAAGCCGACCATGATCAGGTAACATAGCTGTGTTGTTGTTTTTTTTTTTTTTGGTTTTTTGGTTCAGACAGGTCCGGGATTAATCCCGCAAAAAGCAAGATGGGTCCTGTAGTCTGACATAGGATTTGTCATAAGGATTTGAGACAAGGTTTTACAAGGCCGGGTGTCATTTCCTGGCGCCCTACTCAGACACTTACGCTGGTCCAAGTACACCGAGTGTTTTTATCGAGACACCATCTCTAGGAAGTTTGTCATTCAAGGCTTGATAAGCCAGTCTAGCCTTATATATATATATATATATATACGCACCCGAAGAACTTAAATTCGGCTGTGCACTCTTGGAAGCTAAGTGCGAATTTGTAAACAATGACTATTACTACTAACATTACAATCTTCCTCTTCCCTGAATTGAGCACTCTCAGTAATTGGCTTGTTTATTCACAGAATAAGTACGTAAAAATTCGCCTTTCTTTCAACCGTACGCCGATGGCATGAAGCAATCGGATGTCTAACCACACTGATGAGCTGTGATACAGCGAAACAGTGTCTGTGGATGATTGTGTGTGTGTTGTTGTTCTTGTTGTTGGCTCCTATAAGAAGCTCATCCGCTCTTTGACAGGTCTTGTTTTCAACCCTCTAATTCGGACTGACTTTACTAACCAGACGCTTTTTTGTGGTTGAATGGTTTACAGCATATCAGATCAGATGATGGTTCCCTTTGGGGGTTACAGGTTCGATTCCTATCGGAGAAGCACATATTTTCTACAAAATTTCTCGAACATTCAGGGCGGTAAATGTAATTAATACTGTTAACTAAAAACCGAAGCATTTACTTAAATAAATTGTATCTATTAAAAATAAGGTATAAACAGATAATATATTAATAATTGTCAGACTTAATCCATTTCATTATATATATATATATATATATATATATATATATATATATATATATATATATATAATAATAATAATAATAATAATATCTTCCCAGATAACAATGGCTGACTATGTCTAAAGGTTTCATGCCTTTTCACGCAACTGTTTTTTTGTGAAAATGATCATTTTATACGCCCCCGACTCCGGCTATCTCAAGATGTTACAACGAAAGTAGCTGATGTGTACATAATCTGCACACATCAACTAAATTCACCGAGGGGAGAAATACCGAAAATAACAATTATTTAAAAAAAATAAAATAAAATAAAAACAAAAGCATTCCTAGAAAGTGCTCGATAGTATGGGAAACAGTGTGTATATATATATATATATATATATATATATATATATATATATATATACAGTCGTGTGCAAAGGTTTAAGACCACCTAATGATTTTCATGTAAAATACACAATACAGCAATATAGTGTGTTCTGTAATATAAATTTATTATGCAATTGAATCACATAAAAATTCATATTCAAAACTAAATCCATAAATTTGAGAAGCAGTCATATTAAGCAGTTTTGGCGTGAGGATCTAGCAAATTTGGGAATGTTCATTATTTTGTATGTCCGACTTTGTTCTTTATTACAGCCTGTAGACGACGAGACATGCTGTGCACCAGACTTTTGCAGTACTCAGCAGTTATATCACCTATCCAGACTTGTTTTATAACATTTTCCAGTCTTTAGCGCTTGTGGGCTGTTTTTCCGCTAAACCCGTCTTTCAGTAGTGTCTACAGGTTCTCAATCGGATTGAGATCGGGAATGTTACTGGACCAATCCAAGCTTTTGACTTTCTTCTTCTCCAAAAAAGCACTCACTATCTTTGAACGGTAACAGGGAGCACCGTCCTGAATGAATGAATCACAATCGTGAACAGCCATACGAAGTTCAATCAGTCCAAGGTACTTGGCGCTATTCATTGACGTTCCAGTGGATAAGAAGGAGAGTCTCTTTAGTGGACATAGCCACCCAAGTTATGATACTGAGAAGATGTTTCCCAATAGCTTGGGTATAGTTGTTATCGTATTTCGTACCAACAGAATTTCAATCAAAATTTGAGCTCTTTGTATTTCCGACAAACTGTTTTTTTCCTCATTTTTTTACATTCGGGAAAACTTGTAAAAACTGGACTAATTTTCGAAGACAATGCATTCACTGAGCATTGGTTTGTTAAGATGGCTGATTAGAATTATATCATATATGATGATGCAATCATATACATAATCTGATGCAATCACAAGCCTGGAAATGAAAAATCCTTTTTTTTTTTTTTTTTGGTTAGGCGGTTTTAAACTTTTGCACATGACATATATATATATATAAATTGTCGGACCTTGTCCATTTCTTAATATATATATATATATATATATATATATATGAGAGAGAGAGAGTTTAAAATTTATATGTAGTTTTAAGTATATAATGTAACATACGACAGTTTGTACTGGATCAAAACGGTTATCGGCACGGAAAGGGTGTTTGGCGTGACGAATTCAAATTCCAACCGAGACTGTTACATACGCTTTCAAACATATATTTTTAGAAAGATATCAGTCCACATTGTCGTTAATAGCAGGGTAGACAGGGCTTTCTATCTTTGGTTGGCAACCAGTTTAGAAGAAGATCAAAACCGCTTGGACGAGGAGCTAACCACTCCATTCCATAAAACCTTCTTAGTTGAGAAACCACATCAAAATCTAGCATGGCGAGGCTGTAACCCCATACTCTACAGGAAGTAACATGTATACCTGTATAGTCATTAGTGCAATGGGAACACCTACTACGTCAGCCGTTGTTTGAACTCTATTGCCTTACTCTATTTAACATGTAAAATTGATTCATCTTGACATGGAATTCTTGATAGAAATCTAGATTATGACAAAGTGGCATTTTCGAACGAATATTGACTTAACCATTTTTTCCACAGGAAAGCTATTGTCTTCAATATGGCGCTGAGGAAGGCAAAGAGAACGCACGCGAGAAAGCGGAAGGCGTGGAAATACGAGAAAAGAAAATAGATGAAGCGGATGAAGAAGAAGATCCTGAAGTTGCCGCCGTATTGGCTGCTGCTGCTGCTGCTCTGGCGCGAACGAGACGATGGAGTCAAGAACTGCAAGAGCAGATGGTAATTTTATTTGTTATTGTTTTGTTTTTTGTTTTGTTTTTCTTTGTTTTGTTTTTTGTTTTGTTTTTTGTTTTTTTTTTAAATTTTATTTAAGAAAATATGTCGTTGCATTTTATTTACAAGCTGGTGCTGAAATGTTCTCGACCCGACCAATTTTGCAAAAATCTAACCAAACATCACAATACATTTGGAATCCCTTCTTAGTTGAATCGAGAACGTTTCGGCACCTTACCATAGATATTGCTTTATACAGCACACAGTGGGGTGGTGTTGCCTTGAAAATCAGTTTTTAAAATCATGTTTTTTTTGGGGGGTGGGGCTTTTTCTTTTCTTGCCTAGACTCGATTTCCGACCTCAATCCTTCATAGGAAATACATAACTACCTCAGCACATGTCATGATGTAATATCGTGTGACATTGTCTAAATTTCGAAAATAACATAGGAAATGGATGTATTTTAAAACTTAACTGCAGTAATGTTTGCTCCTATTTTTTCTTTCATTCCTTGTTAAAAGAGGTTACTGTAGCATTATCGTTTTAACGATTAATAATAAAATGAAACTAAATCACTTCTGCGCGCAGTTATTTTCTATTCATTTCTTTGCTTCATCAATTAATTTCGGCATGAAAGTGTGTGGCTTTGGGGCTTTCTCTGAACGTGCATCTTATTCTCGTGAGATGTGAGAGACTCTCTCTTCTCCCTGCTTGTATATTTTTCTGTCATTCGGTTGTCCCACGTGTGCACATTCTAAGCGCAGTTAGGTCAACCATCTGTTTACGTGGGGAGATGACTAATGACATCCTGCGAGGCTCGAATCTGTACCCGGTGGCTATGAAGATATCTTCTGGGTCAACCCTCTAATGCACCTAACTCCTTCGGGGCTCTGGTGGGACATTGAGTGCTAAGTCTATTTTTATATCTTTTAAGGAGGGTCCAGTATATACTGAGGTCAACTATTCCAAGAAGAAAGGTTCGTTATTGGCATTAAATTCGATTCAGACTATTTGTTATTTCCTGGCGTTAATGGCGTTTATACGGAGATACTTTCTTTTCTTTTTTTTTTTTCCACCCAAGCAAAGCGATAATGTCACAACAGGTATTGCTGTGAATAGAAAAGAATGAGACATTAGTAAGGAGAATAGACACCAAAAGAACAGGTTCGGGAAGGCAGAAGATAGCGATTGACGTTACATTGATTTTTTAAGATTGTAGGGGGTAGGGAAGCAAGAAGGGAGTTCCACAGTAGAACATATGGTTCATATCAAACCGTTCTCAACGGATTCTCTTCCAGCTCCTATCTCACGAACGCAGGTGTTCCTCAAGACTCTATCCTAGGCCCACTCTGTTCCTTATCTTCATCAATGATCTTCCTGGTGCCATAGATTCCCAAGTTGGCATCTACGTGGACGACACTACAATTTACTCCTGACTCAAAAACAAATCTAGTGTCGCTGACAAAACTAACCTGGCCGTTCGTCTCGAAAAGGACCTCTAATCGGTTGTGAACTGAGGCAGGAATTGGCTGGTTAACTTTAACGCCTCAAAAACAAAACTGCTCTCTATTAATCACCACAGAGATCCTTCACTAACCCCTATTAGAATGTCTGACGCTCAACTTCTCGAGAGCACCTCTCTGCGGCTGCTCGGTCTCACGTTGACTACTGACCTGAGATGGAACAAATACATTGAGTCAATTGCTACGTCCACCGCAAGGAAAGTTGACTCCCTGTGCCGCGCCAGGAAATTTTTTTTCCCGGAATCGATCCTTCAAATCTACAAATCAATCATTCGCCCTTGCATATAGTATTGCTGCCATATATGGTCTGGAGCCTCTTCTGTTTGCCTCTGGGTTCTTGATAAGATCTAGAGACGGATATGCAATGTAATTGGTCCTTGAAGCATGATGACTCTCACGAATTCTTTCAACGTATGTTATAAAGCGTCTCGTCTACAGTCACTTTCTCACAGACGCACCGTCGCCTCCCTCTGTCTGTTCTACAAATACTTTCATGGAAATTGCTCCGAGGAACTGCATTCGCTGGTTCCCAAACTTCATGAGTTCAAGCGCCCTACGAGGCTGGCATCCCGCTCTCACCCTTTCACTGTTGAAACTGTTAAAAGTAGCCGTCTCTTCTACTCCAATAGCTTCATATCTCGTACCACTCGCCTGCGGAACTCCCTTCCCTATTCCTGTTTCCCTGACAGCTATAATCTCCAACTATTCAAATGTAATGTCAGTCGACTTCTCCAGTTGTCTTGATCTATCCACTATCCTTCTTCTCATCCTTTCCTCTATCACTCCTATCTGCTCTCGCTCCAAATCCTCTGTAACCCCTTGCGTTCTAGTGGCTTCCCACCTTGCTTGGGGTAAAAAAAATATATATAGCTAGTGCAACAGTAAAATGGTGAGACCTAATTGCCTCTCTGGTAGTACATGCAGTCGAGATATGTCGGAAAACTCAAGTTGAAAAGTGCTCCGAGACAGATTTTGCATGTGTCATTTCTTGACTATAGTGTTTGACGGAGAAGCCAAAGTTTTAAGTTTACTTGTGAATACGCACAGATACGTTGAGAAAGTTATAGACAGTTCTGAAGAAATTTTAGTTTTTATTCCTTATATAAAAGTTTCCGAGAAAATCACGACATAACTGAGGAAACTCCATGAAGAGTTTCTTGATTAGGTCGTAAAAACTGAGAAAAGATCTAAAGGCTTCATTCTTCTGGCTGTAAAATTTACTGTTGTTCTAATTTTCCAGCTTATTTAGTGATTTGAACGATTTTTTTTGATTTTTTTTTTTTATCTGACTCAGTTTTAGTACACAAATTCTTTTCTTTGTTTCTAATTAATTTTTTTTCTGTTTCTTAATACTTTGCTTAGCTTTTTGAAGGCTTCTTTTTTATCCCAATGCGCCTACGGATTTCAGTGTCACACTTTCCGTCCTCTGTTAAAACATTTCCCAGATATTTAAATTGTTTTGCCTGTTTGATTTTGGTATCTTTACTTTGTAATTTACATGTTGGGCTGTTCCTTTTGCTGACAACCAGACATTCTGTCTTCTTGCAACTGATGCTTAGTCCTTTCTACTCGCTTTCCTTCACTACTTTCGTGTTCTTGCAGTTTCCTTTCTATGTCTGCTATCAACACTGTATCATCTGCATATCTTATGTTGTTAAAATTGTGGCCGCTAATAATTAATCCTGATAAGTCCCCTAATTCTTTCAGCATCCCCTCACTGTATAGGTTGAATAAGTCCGGTGCGAAGACACATCTTTGTCTTACACTCCTTTCCATTTATGCATATTTACTGAATTCATTTTCTATTCGAATACAAGCGCTTTGCTGCCAGTATAAGTTCTGAATTATTCTAATATCCTTTTCCAAAACATGTCATGGTTACCTTGTAGTTTCAACATTTCTTTGTTGCTTGATTGATTGGTTGTTTTTGTTTAGCGGCATATCAACCTCTGTGGATTATTTAATGCTGAAATCTAAATAGTTTAGTGATACAATTTTTACTAATTAACCCATAGCTATGGAAGAAAATGTGGATTCATAACACGTGTATCTGCGCTTAAGTGAATATAACGAACAGAACTAGAAATGGGATTTGGCCCTCCGATTAATAATTCCGAGTCATTATCTATTGCACCACCTTCAAATCCAAGCTTACAGCACCTGGTATTCTCAGACAGTTACCCACCTAAGTACTGACCATGTTCAACTTTGCGCGTAAATGACTATAACAAACCAGCAATTGGAATTTGGCTCTCCGATTAACAATTCTGATCTATTATCCATTATACTACCCTTACATAAAAGCTTAGAGCACCAGGTATTCCCAAACAGCCACCCATTTAGATACTGACCAGGCTCGACGTTGCTTGACTTCGGTGAACGTACAGGAGCCGGTGTTTCAACGTGATGTTCCCGTAAGCAATCATACTTCTCCCAAACTGCCTATCTCTTATAGCTCTTAACTTTTAACATCCATTCACGCAAGCTCGTCAGGTAAGTGGCCCATTGCCTTTCCTTACCCCATCGATTTACTCAGTATTAAATTCTCCAAGCCTTACTTCCCCTGTGTGTTCAATAAATTTCTACTGTCTTTCTGATTCTGACTACAAATGTCATTTTTGCTTCCATTTTTCTTAAGACTTCTTCGTTTGCTTTCTATGTCCATGTTATTCCTTTCTGTCTCTCTCCAGTTTCCTCTTTATCTGTGAATAGATTGTTCAGCATTCATTTCTGTAAAATTTTTGTTGCTTAACTTCGATGATTTGTAAGGGAACAGATGTTTCAACGTGATATGGCCGTAAGCCAACAATTCTTTGTGACGTAATTTACCAAACGCTTTTGCATAATCTATAAAGCATAAGTATACATCTTTTGGCATTTTTATTGCTGTTTATGAACAATAATTAATAATGAAACATCGCAATTATAATAATAATAAACTGTAATAAAATTTATTGGACAGAGAGAAGATTCGTTCTTTCCGTAGATCTTAGCAACATCAGCATATGATTTTTTTTCTTTAGTTTTTAAGTCTGAAGCGTCCACATTTTCTTATAAAGGAAGCATTTTTTTTTATTTCTCTTCGGCATATCCGAATTCGCAGTATCCAATATTCTGACACTTTGGAAGAATTATTAAATAAAATTCATGAATTATTTATTTATGGAGTTGATCGCGGTAAATGTGACTACTGCACACTAGTAATAGTTCTACAACAGGTACCAAAAGATGAAATTAGTAGTATAGTGTTTATACTAAGATGAACTTAGTCTGACACAAGACCACAATAGCGAGGTTCAAACTTACTTGAAACTGTGTGATTTATTTGCTGTGCCTCTGAATTTGAGATCGAAAAAAAAACAATTATAAATATTTAATATGTTTAGATTTGTCTGACACAAGGCCAAAGTTGTGGAACAACCGGTAATGATCGAATTCGCTATATGTGAGTTTTGTACATCAGCTGCCGCTATACAGTCCTCA